GGGTGTCTATAATAGTCCGGAGTATCCGGGAGGTTTTGGATCTGTAGGTGACTGGCGATATTCAAGTAAGGAAAGAACTAGGGTTTAGGGTTTATGGTGTGATGTTGATTCTCGTGATTTCGTTATGGCTGAACGATTGTTAGTGGTTTCTCTGAGCGGTGCCATAGGTAGGATAGTTATATACTCTCTTCAAAGCCGACGATTTTAGCGCATTGCTCGCAGTAGTAAAGATTATAATCAATTCTAAGCATGCCCAAAGACCTAACATCATCTGTGGAGGTGGCCTCGACAGATCGCGCGCAGCGCATACAACGAAGAACCTTGACGATAGCAATGGGATGCTGATGAATGGTCATTTCTAAGTAATGTACTGTGATATGGTTTTCAATTCCGGGGATGAAAAAAATTCACTGTCAATTTTCAACCTCAATTTTCACCTATGTGAAGTGTTCTTATAGGTCCGGTTCTAGGACTAGACGAGGGCGTCCTAGTCTCTAAATGAAGGTGACCCTAGTTTTGGGACCAGATGAAGGAGATCCCAGTATTAGGATCAAATGAGGATGTCCCAAAACTGGGACTGGTAGAGTCGCGTTGCCTAGGTTGACGCGTCGTGACTCCGCCGCGAGAGTCGCTGATACAAACGGGGAACCTGGCGAATGGCCTAAGCAACCGAAGAGGCTACGGCGCGCTCAAAAAAGGCATAGCGCGCTCCGGGTGTGACTCAGCCATTAAGCAGCGAGCAATTAGACTTCTACGCTGTTCTGCCTTACATTTATGGCTGCGCCCGTTCCAAGCGTTTTCATGCTGCTACAGTATGTAAAAGGCGAAATAGGTGTCGCTAAATATTGGATAATTTTTTTAGCATAATACTGTGGGCCCTGAGCTTTGTCCGTCGTAATAGTAGACAACATGTACCGCAACTTGTTCCTCTGACAAGTAACAAAGGCTAATACAGGTTCCTAAAGAAGCGCCCCACTATCCTTGCCCCCTTCTCCTCTGTTCTTCGCCGGCCTTCCCTCCTCTTTTTCTTCCACCTACAAATACAGGCCAGTTCCTGCTAAAACCGTAATCATAGGACCACAACTGGATCTCGCACGGCGTGATTTAATTAAAGTTATGCTATAGAAAATTTTTGACACAAAGCTAATAGCCTCAAATGAATGCTTCCTGCAGTACGCGGGCTGTTTAAAGAATTCGACAAAAAGAATACCCAAAGGGTGCCCGCCAGAATACGAACCTTGGATACTGTAGCTGCCTTACACAGCCTATCTAAAAAGCCCTGCTTGATAAACTAACAGAACATCCATATTTGCATCCTTTTGAGGTGTCAGATTATCTCTATAAGAAATTCGACAAGAGAGTCCCAGAGAGATTAATCGCGCTGGTACTATGAGCCCGGGGATAGATGTGGTCACTGACCGAGCGCCGCGGACTTATTCTCCAGACCGATTACAACAGACCTAGATATCCTCCTTGGGGATATCCGTGCCGTGGGAGGAGGGTTGTGATCTTGGAGCGTCCTTCGCCACGCTTTGCGGAGTTACCGCCGTCGGAAGGCTTCTGATCCGTTTACCAGAACTGGAGCTGTGTGCATTGGCTCTTCCCTCGTGCCTTTGTTGCTCTCTCATGGCTCGCCCTTTAGAAATCAATATGCTGCTAAATATACTATTTCTTCCGTTTTATCTTCATACTGGCTGAGAGTGGTACCTTTTCATTCAACTACCTCTGGTCACAGACCGTGCCCTTCCCGCTGACACTATGCCTCGAGCAGAGCCAGTCAAGGTTTCTCTTGAAGAGGTCCGCCGAACACTAAAACAACTTGACCAACAGCACGCCCACAAAACGAGTTGTCGACGACGAGCAGCTCGGTCTCGGAAGGGTATTGAGCCATAACTCCGAGATGGGAAGCACAGGGTGCCCCTTGAAGAGATCATCCGTATATCTGCCGGCCTGAACCGCGAACGCGCGGTGCTACCCAACTTCTACAACGACCAGCCACTCCCGAGTCGATCTTTTCTCCACAAACACAACCTTCCCGCAAGCGCCGTAGTGCACAACAAGAACTTCCGACTCCGCCACCATCCGGGCAGAGCCGCCCCTCGGAAGAGGCCTCGGCGGCTGCATGAGACTTCCCAATTCCCAGATTTCCGTAACTGAAGAAGAGCCCCAACTTCCGTCGGGCTCGGTCTATTGTTGCCGCTCCAAGACACATGGATGTTCTCGATAGTCTGAAGAAGTGGATGAGGGAGCCTCAAGACAAGTGAATTGTCTTGCCGCATCGGGCGGAATTGGTGTGGAATGACCTCCCTCCCGACATGGAGACCACACTGTAGCGGTTCCAAAGAGCCATTGCTAACAACCCCGTGGCATATAACCAAACGGGGGCATGTATTATAATTCTTTCCTATTTTAGGTTATTTACAAACGATTTAGAACTAAAACTAGGCACAAGAGTGGTATAAACTTATCTCGAGCATTACCTCATATATTAATACTGGATGTCTAAATCATAGAAGAATTTCAATGCTATTGATGTGTTATCTACTATCCCGGAAGGCTCGCCCATAGGAAGATGGGAAGCTCATAATACAAGACGTCCTATGCTAGAGAAGGCAATAAGCAAAGTGGCTGCTAGCTAACGCTTGCGGCGCACGTGATTCCCCTTAGCCAAGGATTCTGCCTCCAGCACCTCCGCCCCTAGCACCTCCTCCATATTACGTAAATCATTGTGAATTTCAGGAAATCGGGATAGAATTACCCGCCTCATCAAACTGTGCTGTTTTCCAACCACCCGTAAACCCTCTCCCAGATTACTAAAACCGGAGTGAATTTCGGGAAAATGAGATAAGAGTACCTCCTTCGCAAGCTTATCCTGCTCCGCCGCCGCCTGAAGCACCACTATGATGTTATCTAAATTATCGTGAAGTTGAGGATAAACTGATGAAAGCTGTTTCTGTATACAAGTGAGTTTCTGTTCGGTAAGATCGAGCCGGTATTGCAGAGCTGATTTCTCCGTTTCGGCCTGATCCTTGTATTGTTCGACGCTCTTCTTGAAGGCCTCGTGCAAATCTATCGTCGCCACTTGATCCTTTTCCAGATGCTGTTTAAGCGCTATTGCTGCTTGATAACTTATCTCAAGTTCTGCGATCTTCGCTTCAAGCTCAGCTCGAATCCTTTTATCGTTTTGTAGCGTATTGCCATCTTTTGCAACTTTAGATAAGCGAGCCCATAACTCTTTATTTTGATCTCTCACGCTTCTCATTCTTTCTTTGATCATTGCGTTTTCGTGCTTAGCAAACCTATTCTCATCATCCAGCCTCCATAAAAGATGCGCATTCGTTTTATATCCATCGTGCAACCTCCTTAGCGCCCGGTTTACACATATAAGATCATGCTCAAAAGAGTTATCCTAGTTTATTTAGCCCATAAATTAGAATAGATGTTAAACCCAACCGTACTAGTATACTTACAGAATATAATTGTGATTGTAGCACGTCTGAGATGGTAGTATCGCCGTTCCCCGTTGGGGTATACACATTGGAACCTATTCTAGGTGATTGAGTCCCGTAGTGGGTAGTTGGGGGAAGAGCAGGAGCTAGAACTGGAAGAAATTCTCTAGATGGTGTGCCCATGATCGGCCTTGTGAGAGAGTTACAAATGCAGCTACCCCAGAATTTCCAGGTGGAAATTCATTGTTTTAAGTCAGGCCTATCGAAAACTTATAACTGTAATGACCTAAAACTCATCCCTGAATGGCTATCGCTATATGATACTATTTAAGTTATGAATCTCAACTTTTCCGTGGGTCCGTCTAGAGGCTGCCGCTATATCATACTAAGAGTAGATATAATCCCCGAGTTATGGGGCCGGCCTATGGGCCAGACCGGGGGCTAACTTTAACCCTATATGGCTCCTTTGTCACTAGAAGAGGGCGCATATAGCGAAGGATTTTCATAAGAACGCAAGGCTATTAATCGCTTATAGCTCATAGGGTAACTACGTTAAGGCCAATCCCGAAGGAAAGAATAATGACCGACCCCAAAATAAGACAGGAGGAGAAGCAGATTAGAAGGAATTTGAAATGGCTCCCCAACAAAGCATTTAAACATGAACGATAACATGAAGTTGAGGTTACGTTCAGTAGTTGGGTTTTTTTTTTCCCAGTAGAATACTATTTTGTCACAAGAGAAGGCCATTGCAACATACCCTAATCGATCCAATCAACCCTTTGTCCCCAGGTACAGGGTAGGTCATTGGCAAAGTCCTTCAGTATACCACAGAGCTTTGTAATAGGCCTTTTGGTAGTTGACTTGAGCGGAGTCTGTGGCTACCTAGTCAATAGGCTTGAATCCTTTAAAACTAAAAACAGCAAGTGAAGGGGGCGGTTGCTGCGGTCACCTGGAGATCGAGGGCCGGGGCTGACATTATTGGTGTCCAACAAGGAGCTACGAAGATTGCAAGCAAGACGCCATCTCTCTCCAACGGTGTTGGCTCGGCTGACTCATGATTGAACAGGAGGTTTTAAAATTTCTCTATGCTTATGCTCTCGTCAGTATGAAGTGATTGGAGTTCTTGGAGCATAGCAATGCCCTAGTGCCAGCATTCCGAAGCGTTCGTTGGCTTGTCACGGCGCAGGGTCTTCGAGATAATACTGTAAGAATCCTGTAAAAGCACATTAAAATTAAGCCCAAAGCGGCTAAAGATCACGATTATTCCTAGCCGAGTCCCTACAGGCCAGAGTTTAAACAGTGCATATTGAATCGCATTGGACCACGTTTTTAATGGAAAGAAATCCCACTCGTTATATAACCCTTCTTTGTCCTATCAGTGTGTGAGGTGAATGGTCTCTGAGACTTGACCATAAGGTAACTTGAATTGCACTTTCTCCCTTGTTGATCTGTTCAGCTATCCCTTTCTCTGGAGCCCTGAGCAAATATCCACCGCGAGTAAACATTCGTCATAGCCAGAGATACCAAATTCTGCGATCATCCATGAGCCATTCAGTCGCCACGTAAGACGGTCCAACCAAGCTCTTTCATGGATAGCTCCAATGACGGGTTCAGGTTCTTGTCATAAACTCTGACAATAATATGTACCAGGGAGCTAATTGCGTTCAGCTGCGCATCAATTTGTGACAATGCCTCGGTAGCTAAAGTTGGGTCGTTCTCTATTAACTGGGCCAGATCACTCGTCTTCAGGTTATCAAGGAAGACTTCGAGTGTCTTTAAGTTTAAGCGAATACATTCCTGCTGGGGAAGACTCAGACTGCGGGGGCTTTCTTCCGCTAGCTTACATCGCCGAGCACGATCCTGCGTATTCTCCACGCCAGGAAATTGGATACACAAGTGCTTAAGGGCACCGGAATTCAAAGACTCAATGGATGTAAGAAACGAATGCAGCAGGTCGGGTTGCTTCTCCGTTGTGTCCACGAGATTGAAGATATTGGAGCCATAGAGGACCGCGCTAGCCTCCTTGTGCATTTGCCGGCAGGTCTGAAAGAGCGCGAGCCATTTTCGTGGTTTCTCTGGCGCAAATACCTCTACTTGCGATCCTTGGCCATGAAAAAGATAGATTGGGTGCGCCAAAATGAGTACACTCTCATAAATGCGTTGGTGTACCTTCGCTGGCAAGCCAAAGAAGCCTTTCGGAGCCGTAGGCCCTTGAGGACTCAAGTTCCTCATGAGAATGGGGCCTTTCTCAGGTTACCCAACGCCCAGTAACCCTAGTTATGGCGGCGTGTGGCAGCACAAAAGTATGAACAAAGTAAAATTGATCTTTCTTGTAGAGATTATTCCGCATGAAATTACATCAATTGCAGAGTAGTCTGACCGAAATAGCGTCCGATGTTCAAATTAATACAGCCCTTGCTATCCTCTGGAGCTAAAAGGTTGATGTTATAGTCGCAATATGGCGCCGTCTTCTGGTGTCGCAGTCTAGCAGTCTTACAAGCCCCGTCAGTCGCGACACGAAGCCTTTTTCAGAACACTCCCATGAGAATTTCGCGACTTGGCTATCGTGGGGTCTCGAAAAATATAGTCCCACGGCACACGACGCTAATCCCTGTGTTCTGACCACTTGCGTCATCTCAGAGTGGCATGACGAGACCCATTCTCTCGCTTTATAAATGCGTCCAGGCCCATGGATTAATTATCTATCGTGGCATGACCGAGATTAGCACGCGCGAGCTTATCCGCCAGCACCGCACCAACCCTGTTGACTGGAGCGTGCACCAAAGAGGAAGAGTGCGCATTACGCAGAGTTACCGGAGCTTAGTCATTGTGGGGAGTTACCAAGCTGCCGAAGATCTGCCGCGTGCCTTATCACTTCAACTTCTGACAAGCCGAAGAACCAAGGAGTGAAGGAGCACTTAAGAAACGCAAATGATGCAGTCCAAGGAGGGAAAAGCGACAGGTCATCACGCAATAGTCAGGTTGTAAAGTTGAATGATTGGTTTGCCCCGCAGTGGTATCAACAAATGCTATTTTAGATTAGTTTATTGATAGCTGTTCTTTTCAGCGTCCCCCCTTAGTGAGAATGTGTGCATACATACTAAGCCTAGAGCAATGGGAGCGCATCTCTCCAGTGCGCTCTTGAGGTTGCCCGCGACAAGAGCGCAACGCTCTTGACGCTCCAGCAAGTAGGTGGGTTCGCACGTGACTTCTATTCTACGCAGTCAACTGGAGGGCCTTTGTCCGTAACACAATAAGGGCTTCGAACTTGGAATGAATAGCCTTGAAATTCGTTTGTTTTAGGTGCGGAATTTAGGTAATCTTTGATGGCTATCTTGACCCATATATATATGCTCTATAATTGGCTGACACGCTTCTAGTGTAAGAAACTCCACACCCTACCATCCTAAGGCACTCCGCGCAAGCACGTGAGCAGCCTTTAATCTCAAACCAGGGCACGGGATCGCTCCTCCATTCTACACACACTCTTTCTTCCCTCCACCCATAGACCAGCCAAGATAACGACAATATTATAGCTCTATCGTATCTAGGCTGGGCCGGCTTCTCATTCCCTGTTTTGTTTCTGTGGTAAGCGCGGCCATGACCGCGCGTTACATCCCTCATTCAAAGCTCGATATCGTTCACCGGATCTGTATTTGCTTTTTAAGGCATTTCTTCAGACCTTGGTTTCTTGGCTTGCAGGAAAATGTCCTTTGGGCATGTCCTCTGGTAAAGCCTACCCTAATCCCCGGATCGGGTATCATTATTCCGCTACAGGGAACTACTCTGTCTCCTGTTATCTCCTTCCAAACTTGTATTTTATTTACCCCGAATACAATCTATTTCTAGCCATTGTCTGTCAACAAGATCTTCGGAAGCTAGCCCTCTCAATAACGATACCCCCCCAGCTCTGAGGGTACTCACCCAAAGTGCGCTTTTCCTGACGCGTGCGCACTTCGGTCAACGCCTCAAGCATCCTTGACACTTAGCTACCCTACAGATCCTTCCGCCACATCATTCCAATCTTGGCATAAGAAAGAACGCGGGGAGTTGAACTTTGAAAACATGCTACTACCCGCTCAAAGACCTTAACCCGCTCACTATTCATAAATCCTAGTAGGCGGAAAAGAGAGAAATGGACGGTTTCTAATCTATCTCCTCGATATCCTCGATCTCTGCAGGAAATGAGTACTGACAAATTCGAATCGTCCCTCAGTTGTTAAATAGACGTATAATGCGCCACGTAGGCAACTTCCATGCGGGAGCCATAACCATCCAAAGTGTTACTCTTTGGGTATCCCGGCTATAGATAGGTTAGCCGCTGAAAATTCAATCAAATTTAGGTTCACTTACCCAGTCTCCCCCAACAGCGACATTAAAGATGATGAATAGAGGGCTTTGAGTGAGAGCTGCCCAGGCATCAGGGCTCCCAAGGTGAGAACCAGTGACCTTGTGGAACTGATTTTCATCTAAATACCATATAATGGCTTCATGCTGGTAGTTTGGCTCACGTCTATCAATCTCCACACGCCAAAGGTGCCAAGCTTGATCTGGAATCTTTGTGGTACCAGTGATTCCCCCAGAGCAAGTGTCGCAGTGGACAGTACCATGGCCAGTCAGGATACCATTAATGGCTTCCATGACATCAATCTCTCCACACTGAGGCCAGCTCACCCCCCAACGGATGCTGTTCCCCAGCATCCAAAAGGCAGGCCACATACCTTGCTTATTGACTGGTAAGTTTTCACCAAACATAATGAAGGCCTCAATACGAGTAATCTTGCCATTAGCAGGCGTGAGGTTATACCGGCTCTCAATGCGGCCCGATGTCCATCCTTTCAACTGGGAGGAATCTTTCCACGGTACTAGCTGCAGGGTCTCACCCCCGCTGACCTGGATATTTGCACTTGAGCTAGTGTAGACCTGGAGTTCATTATTGACACCTAGATCGCCGGTGACGATGTCCCAGTCGCTCAGGTTAGGCTGCATGCCAAATGAACCAGAGAAAGTATCCTGCCAGACCTTTGTGTAGCCAGGATAAATAGGGGACTCCCAGGCACTAGCAACACCAATAGCAAGAAGAGGAGTGATAATAAATCGGAACATATTTCGTACTATAGTAGTAGACGGAAATACGTACAACAATACCACGCATACATGAGCTCTTGGAGTTTTGGACAGATACATATGTACATACTGTTGCAAAGGTGTATGTATAGTATCACGAGCCTTGAACAGCTTTTGGATATCGGGTGGGGGCCCAAATCCCGGCTTTGTTTGCTGCCTGGGTTTAAAAAGCCCAGTTCTGTGCCCCCTTCGCCCTGTTCAGTAAGACCGGCGCCATAAATAAATTCCACTGTGTGTTACCGTTGTTTAACCTTATCAACATCGATTCCCGACATGTTAGACAACAAGACTACACTTTTCGACAGCTGCACCTTCGATTCCACTTACAATAGCGCAGGTTTACTACAAATGATTAAATATGATTGCGAACTTTTCACTTGTGTAGCCTCGGGCTACTATGCCTCTAAACAGCAGCCCCCTCGAGAACAAGGCCCGCTTGTAAAGGGAGAAGGGAATTGGTGGAACTAAGGGATAGATACATATAGAAACTCTCACTTCATAGGCTCTTATCCACACATTGTTTATCAAGTACCACAAGCGCAAATCAAATACGGCTTTATTTTGACTTCATCATTGCTCTTATTGCGGTCGTAATCCTGTAATCCTGTATCAGGAATTTAATTATGAGCAAAACAGCACAGGCTCGTCCGGAGGCGGGCGACGGACGCGTGACGGTGGCACGCTGGCAGAAAAAAGATTTGCCCACATTGCTACCAACCGGCCTGCGATATTGGGCGATCCTCCCTAGGTATTAGGCCTACAACATCGGCAGGCTGCCCGAACAATGCCTCATTCTGCGAGGTACATTCCGCGTTCGAAGAAGGTCCCATGTTGCGAACACAGGGTCCCCATCTGAAAGGATATTCGAAGGGTGTGCTTTTACAGACATTAGGGCCAGCGAGAAAAGAAACGAATGTCTGGGTTCAGCCGCTGTGATCGATAGTAGGCTAGGACAAGGCCGTGCAAAGTTGTTGGGCGTGTGGGAAAGGTCCCATAATGCGGTTGACTGTAGCGTGGGACATGAAATGGTTCTATGCTTAGCCCCTTCGGTCTCATAGTGGATTAGGCCCCATAACGTAAGGAAGGCTGGGATTTGGGCTAGAAAAGAACCTTGGTGCGTCATCCTACCCAAAGAGGTAATGGCAGCAAGAGCGCAAGCCGCTTTCTTTACGTACATTTATGTGCCGCACTAAGCTCCGTGCTTACGGAGCTTGAACAGCAATAAGTGCATGTGACGATATATTCCTCCTTGGCATTCTTAGCATCCCCTGAGGAGGTCTAGTCAACAACCATACTGCAGCTCTGAGAAGAGCCTGGTGACCCAGACGGAATGAAGCCTTCAGACTGCGCTTCAGTGCACGGGGCTTCCTTGAAGGCTCGGTACAAAAAACCTACAAAGAAGTATGTCTATAGTTGTTGGGTCTCATAATGGGTAAAGTGTACTTGGATAGATTTTTGACTAAGAATCAACAGATTGGGCCACCCTAAATCTACCCTATAACCAGCATCCCAGAAGGTCGTATCCGGTGTTCCTCACGTCTGATAAATCCAACGTCTCCGCCGCAAGTGACCCATCCAAGCCTCCAATTAAGGTATCTAATGGTGGAAGTCCTTGGAGGAGCTCATTTGCGGGCAGATGCTACTGAGAGCTTTGATTTGTGCGGTGGATTGTTAGTACGCCCTAATCAAAGGCTAGCCCAACGTCAACTCGTTTTGTTTAGTGGTTCACCTGAATCAGGAGCCCTGGGCTATATCGAAGATACAAAAACCACCCAGTATTAGTCTCTCTTAACTTGCGTGCCAAAGGCGTCTGAGCACCGCATACACCCGCAGACGGATGGCCAAGCCGAAAGAATGAAGCAAGAACCTCAACATTATTGAAGGGCATGCTGTACCAAAGACTAAAGTGACTGAGCACAGAAGCTATTGAGTGCCGGTGGAATCTCCTAACTAACAACATTACAACCAAAAGAGGTGGGTCCGTGATCGCGATGTCGGCGTTAGTCAACGGGAGGAATTGCGACCAAGCTGCGTAGTCAAGACCAACAACCACAATCAATTGCACATGTATTTGGTGTTTGGTTGGGTGTTTGGTTGGGGACTCCCGCATTTGATCAATTGAATGAGACCATCCAGGTCATCATACGAGCCAAACTGGCTGTACGAATAACGAGTCAAATATCACGATTTCAAAAATAAAGAATAATTCAAGAGTAAAAGACGACCTTCATTTTAGAATGAGCAGTCTGCTGCTTAAGTAGTAAGCAGCAAATCGCCCTAACTAACTAAGGTATATTACGTACGCTCTCACTATACATGGCACAATTCGTGTCTTAGTCTAGCTGATCCAAGGCTCTATATGTGCAGGAGATACCTCTTCTTTCACATTTTGAAATTGAACGGCTTCTGATGGTACAGTTCTGGTTACCAGGATCCCGGGTTGTATTTCTCCACCTGTTTTTGTACTAGTCCTTCGTGTTATGCAGCAGCGAAAGCGTATTTATTGCAGCCTCTTCGTCCTCGTAATATTTCCTCCTTCCCTTACTCTCTTATCCTTCCATCAAAAGCTCAAAAACTTCAGAATTTGGCTGTTACACCCTGGTCATAGGCCGGCCCCAGGCCTAAGTCACGTGATGTGTTCAGACGCCAAGACAAGTGCTCAGGCTTGAGCATCTCAGCAAATCTCTGAGCACCCCGAATATATATACTACGTTCACTTCTGAATAGAATACTAGCTCGACAGCTCCCAATAAACATATCAGTTTATGCATACTACTGCAAGTCTAACCTTACTTTCCAATTCAATACCTGACTTCAAGTGACGGAGCTATCGTCCCTCTCTCCTTGATCAACCGTCGACCGAAGACATGAGAGCTACCCTGTAGCCTCGAATATACCGTCCGTCACACTGACCCAAAGTTGTTCAGGCTACTTAATTCACTGTCGTGATGGATCAATACGGAGGCCTTTCTCGCCATCTTCTTTCTAATTTTCCAGATCTCATGTGTTGGCCGATGGATGTAGAAAGTTTCGTCCCTTTCTCACCCTGTCGAGAAAGCGAATTGCACCCCGCGTGCCATGAGATCAAGTGACCTGTTACGAACGAAAGTATATGCTGCTTGGTATCACGTGGCATACCCACTTCTTCCACTAATCAAGGCTAGAACACTTTAGATCACCAGTGAGCCTCCACGATCTAAGACCAAACCCACTCTAAATCACCAGTGAGCCTTCATGAGCTACCTAGTATATATACCCATCCATTTCATTAGCTAGAACACTCCTTTAGACAGTTATCAATACAATCGCTACCGCCTTTATTGAAACTAGCTCCTCGGTGCTCGCACATTAGCCGTGACTCACACAGCACACAGACAACCTGATTGCGCCACTCAGAACAACACCCTGATTGGGTACAACCCTGACTTACCCTAGACCCAGTCCAGTGTAAGTCATCCAATCGTCACATGACCCAGATGGCGAGCTTTATAGTGCTGTACGAGAACTTCGACCTTTGGTTCTGTATGGGCAACGCCATTTCATAGGTATAACCCACATATCAGCAGCATATGCACTCTGTCATTCTCAGGTGGTGTAGAAACAAGTGCGCCTATCTGGTAACTTTGGAACACCTCTCATGTCGAGCTTTTCTATCTTTCTCTGTTTTACCTTCTCAGAGTTGCTCATGGCTTCTTTGATTAAGTCCCCCATATCCTCAGGCCCATAATGCACTGTGGAACTCGCTTTCTTCTATCATAATTTTACGTGGCTGACCTAAAGGAGTGTCCGCTTTTTCGGTTTATGTAATGTTGTAAATTTGGGCGCTCCAATACGCCACATGTAGCTCGCACAGTGTTCCTACCCTATAGGTGCTGTTGGTTCGCAATAAGTGGGTACGTTACTTGCTGGCCCAACCAGGATTGAGGGTCCACGCATCAAATTCTTCCCCTCCTTGACCTCGCACGACTTCACGCCTCGCGGTCCCTCGACCAGCACGCACGCATGTTTCATCCCGACGACGTCGCCTTTGAACCTTGGCGGGAAAGCCCATGTGGTAAGGTATCCCTTGGCTCTGGGCATCAAAGAAGACCAGCGAGGCTCTCTCCAACCTCCGACCAACGCTCGCTCTCTCTACGGAACGGACGACGCATTCTTCCCAATCGCCCCCGATCAGTCTTTGCATACGCGTTCAAACCGACCTCGAGTGAAATAAAAAAAAAAACGGCTATATTCGACACCCGAATTGAACAAGAAGACGCCCGGTCGACTACAACTTCGGTAACCTGCGCCTGGGAAAGGGCCCTACATTGTGAACCATCTCCATCTGTTGGTGTCGCCACCAACAGCTTCCAGATTCACAGGTAAAAGGGATAAATTGAGACTGTTGCTTCTAACTAGTAATTACAGAGGGGATCCGCGGCCCCTTATCTCCCTGAGAATCTTTTGATCGTATTCTCATGCGAACAGCCTGGTCCTGGGCTCGTAAGGTCTTTCAGATATCTCTCTTGCTGGCAATTGTTAGGGAAATTCATATCCGGATGACCGAAGTCATCCTCTTCCTTCAAGCCGTACGTTCAATACGATCAGAAAGCTCTTCGAGGCATCAGGTTCGTGCCGATCTCTCGGTATTAGGTTGATAGTCAGGTCAGTAGGTTTGCGATCAATCCTACCGACTAGGGCTGCTCGAGCCGATAGGTCAGGGCTCTGACGATCGGTTCCAGTTAGGTTGCAACCTTCCAACCTAGTCAACTGACCCCTCTCGGTGAAACTGATCCTTCTAGGTCTGTTGAATCGTAGCCGAGGCTATCGTGTGATTGAACCTTACTTTTGCCTTCGAAGCCGGGCCGGCTTCCACGGAATTCCTGATGTTGGTTACTAGCAAATTGTATGTGCGTTCGAAAAGGCTGGGCTGCGGGCTTCAACGTTCGTGGATTATCTCGGTAGTTGACGATACCTTCCTATCGCCCGCTTGGCTCCAACACCATCATATATAGCCATGCATCATAAAAGGTTATTGAACATCTACAGGACTAATGTGACCGCTCTGTGGCAAAGCGGAAAAAGATTCAGTTGGGGATTTCCTAGGGGAAGGAACATGAGTATGACTTGCCGCTTACATACAACTATATGTACGAGGCCTTCGATTCCTAGCAGGTTGGCTTTTGCCTACCTTCCTCTTTACAATGATACAAATACATTACTACCTTTCTAAACTTCTTTTAGAACAGTGGATAAAGCACATCGTGAGGCTGAATTTCGCAGCAAATTCCGTTTGGGGAGGGTACAGAGGAGTACAAGCTGTATGAGGCTTTACTTTCTGCTCTTCTTACATTAGCAGGGAATCGTCGGAAGCTAGTTGTGATCCTTGACATTGAATTGGACATACACGACATGATTGCACTTATAATCTTGCTCCATATGCACGATCTTGGCATCATCTAAATCATTCTCGTTATTGTCAACTACCACCCCTCTAAGAGGCGTGCAAATTTTCCAATGGGTGAGTTCCTCGCTGCACTATTCTTTAGAAGAAGACTTGCACGATGACCTTTAATATATTTACTTTTAAATCTTTGTTGCCTCTACATAGATGGAGGGCCTTTGAAGGCTAACCTAGACAATCTCATTTTACGAACTACCTTGCTACTAAGTCTTGAAAATCATGTATTATCAATGCTCTCGCGGACAGAAAAAAATTCGGACTAAGAAATTTGATGCCGAGAAGCCTATTCACTGTTTTGAGTATTCATCCCATTCCAACTTAAAGTCTTATGCTCTCCTGGCTTGCAAGACATCCCGGCAGCAAGCTGCTGCGGGTATGACCATCTGCCTCCCGCGCAGCGTTGGAAAGAATTACCAATAATGCAGTTCCATGAGCCTTCTACAGTGCATAGATTGTCTACCCTGTCATTACTAATCTGGCTTACTGTGCTGGTTATCCCGGAGGCCGGAGATGCAAAATTCAAGCTACTTGTTGAAGTTGTGATGTAGGCTTTAACGGGACTCCGAGAGGTTGGGTAGGGGCACGACCCAGTCGGGCCTGCGAAAGCAGTAGTACCTTGGTTCATCCTAGTCACATCACGACCTGGGTCTGGAAATACTAGATCTTTTCCATCCGGTACAGCACACCCATTGTTAATGTTTGCTCTGAACATGTCTGGGAGCATTTCAAAGTTTTCCCAGGTACCACTTATCCCTGTGAGCGTTATTGGGCCACAGTTCATGTACATTTCGCGGTTCCCAATCTTATTAAACCAAGTCCAGGCAATGGTGCCACTGCCAGTGGGGATGTTGGAAGGTATCGTGAAGTCATACCGAAACGGATTTGCAGCATTCGCATTGTCACCAATATTTCCGGATTGGCCTTGGGCAGGACAGCCACCCTCGATAGACCTGATCACCTTCCAAATCGAATTTCGAGTAGGCTGGCTATCATATGTAATTGATACTTGACAGGAGCCTCCCCCGTGTACGGCTTGTCCAATAAAGCTGAGTGGGTATGTTCGACCGAGGGCATAAATATTCGACGCGCCTTCTGAATCGTACACACCAGAGCGCAGCTTACAGGGGAAATCCGTTCCATCAGCCAGCAATGGGCCGTTGTTGAGGCTCGATTTACCATACGGAGTCGGCAAATTCATCTTCATATGGCCGTGGACAACCACATAAAAGCTTATCAAGATGCCAACAATTCGCACAATGATCATAATGATTGAGCGCGAGTCTGGCTAGAGAGTGAACAGTGGTTGGAAACTTATATAATGATACGACCCAGTTTGGGGCCCCTGTTCCCAGAAAATGGCCCCAAAACTACAATGTCGGAATTGGAAACTACAATAGCGCTCCTCATCCACTATGACGATATGTACACCTAAAACGGGCTATACTACGGGCTTGACTACATAGTATGTTTCATTGCCCCAAGGGAAATCTCTTCACTCATCTGGTTTGAATTTAAGCTCCTTTAGAGTGATTCCTGCCTCACTATTGTCTCGGACAACTAATTTAATTGCCTCGCTTATCTCATGGCGTGCGCACACTATTTTGGCCAAAGCAGTCTCTCTTTTTGCTGCTTGTAACTCCGGTTCCCTGAAAGTCACAACGATTTACGTAATATGGAAGAGGTGGCAGCCATTGTGTTTATTGCCTTCTCTAGGATAGAGCGTCTTGTATTAAGAGCTTCCTATGGACGAGCCTTCCGGGATAGTAGATAACACAACAATAGCATTGAAGTTCTTCTATGATTTAGACATCTAATATCAATATATGAGGTAGTAACGCTCGAGATAAACTTATGCTACTATTGTGCCTAGCTTTTAGCTCTAAACCATTTGTGAATAACCTAAAAGAGGGAAGAATTATAATACATGCCCTCGTTTGGTTATATTTCTCGGGTCGTGCACTCCCAGAGCTTTGTCGACCGACTTTTGAACACGAGATTTCACCTGCCGTGACCGAATGCCGTCATCATCTGACCCTCTGGGATATTGTGTTGGGGGAAAAACGAACAACACCACGGCTGTTAGCGAACTTGAAATGCAGACTGCCAACCACACCAAAATCTAACAACCTTCCACAACAGCTATGAAAAGGAGGTTTTGAGTTTTGTGTGTATTCTCATTTGATCAAATGGTTCACGTTTACAGCTAGTCAATTGGCCTAACGTAGCCGCCGTAACGTTGCTGAAAGACACATCTTTCATAAGAAGGGGTTTTCAAAAGTCAAACTAATAAAGGGTGAAAAGGATGTCTTTTTCTACGGATGCTGAAAAATAGCTAATTTATCTAACCCGGCCAAATTGACAAGTGGGCCCCGACTCAATATATTAGCCACTCGGTGCTGAGGTAGTCTACAAACCTTTCATTCACCGACTAACAATGAATCCATATTAATGCTACAAAAAAAATAAGGTTGACTAGTCTATAGTCCACGGTGCATCTCAGTATATTACGGTCGTACTACAGTCCTGCAGACGTTACACAACAGCATTACATCTCTGATAGGAGATTAATGGGTGTGCGGATAGAGTAGTACTAACACAAATGTGAGAAGCAACGCTGGATCGTTCAGCTCCGAATATAGGCACGGTTGTGCGTCAAGAATTGCATATTTTTTTTTTTTTGGACTACATAAATCAAGCTTCATAAGCCAATAACTAAGACTAGAATCATTAGCTTCAGCGGGAAGCAGGGAATTCCGGACAGGCATGAGCGGGAAGAAATAGCCGCTCTCTCTAAGCTTGTCTTACAAGATATACTTAACCGGGTCTTGAGAGACCGATCTGTACAAGCATGATTCAATGCAGCTCGCTAAGCTTGCTCATATGTTGTCTAGAAACATTTCAAGGCGCCTAGATCATATGTTGCTGTTCTTCTTGTCTATATCTCTTGATGATTTGCTTTTCTCTACAAGCATTAGGGTTTAGCAATCAAGTCTATTTGTTCGATAAGGGGCATGTTAAGTGTCTGCGGAGCCGGTAGTTACAATGATTCGTATGCACGCCAAGAGAATGTAGCTAAATGCGGTCCAACATATCTGCGAATGACCGCCACGCCCTTATTTTTTTCTTCTTTTTTCTTTTTGGCTGGAAATCCTGTTAACGGAGAAGCTGAGATCTGAAGCTGAGGCGATTCTTGTTCGAACTGAGGAATGGGCACCGGAGAATGCTTCTCTGAAACGCATTACCGAGAATGGCAGAACAGCTCTCCAGCTACACTTCGACTGGAGTCCTTATTCAAAGCATGCGTATGCCAAAAGCACTACTGGAGGTGCGGATGATTCGCCCTCAATGCCGACGACGCTGCAACGGCAAGCGGCCTTCACTCCCAAAAGCTCAACATACTCCAGATGAAGATGACTTGCTCATCAAGCTGAAAAGAGAGTAGAAAGATGCTGGCGTGGCCTCAGATATACCACAAGTTCAATGAGACCTAACAGGGCGGTCTATGGGGAGTCTACAAGTACATTACTCGATGAAGCTTAAGCTCATGGTGAAGCGGCAATGTCTGTGAGTATTCCAACCGTGGCCGTCTTCCTATCTGGTGTCAACGAAGTCCACAGGATATCTAGAATGGCAGCAAGGCTCCGGTAAGGGAGGCGCGTGGCCGACCCTTTTCAGCTGCCATCCATTACCAGAAAGGCAGAGAGAAACTATCCTCGTTTGGGAGCAAGATCCGAGCGCAAGGTACTAACTGGTGAGTGAGTGCAGTCAAATTGACGCCCCGGTCTGTCAAAACCACACCCGTTAGTACTTATCGGGATAGTGCAGCCCCCCCCCACCTAAGATACACCGAAATGTATGCAATTAGTCCGCTGAGAGTAGTACCTTCGGTATAATGAGTACGTATTCACAATAACATTATACATAAATCCCTGCAATTCGCGTTTGAGGCTGAATGCAGCCCGGTAATCGGTCAAAGTTCGAGAATATGGAAAAGAAGAATTCGCAATGCTGCTCATGGTGAAAGAAGTAGAAAAACTCTTAATTTCGCAAAGTTGTGGGTGTTCAAAGACTGCGGCGTGCAGGTGCTGACGATGCGGCATGGTGGTGTTGCGGCGTCGCAGCGATATCGCGTTTTTGCCATGTCGCGTAATGAGCTACTACATGTGCTGATTGTACCGAAAGGTACCTCGTAGTGGTATACTTTTTGTATGTGGAAACGCTATCCCGATAAGTACTAACGGGTGTGGTTTTGATAGACCGGGGCGTCAATTTGACTCGTGATGCTAGGCCACGGTGGAGTACGAGCCCACTTGGTGGCTCGCGCAAATTGCATTGTGTATCATGTAAATGCTTCCATCTGACGCCGGTGCCAACATGGATGAAGCTAGCTCTGATGATGGAGACGGCGGTGCACCGCGCACCAAAGGACCGCGGCGGCTTCACTGCAATCACTTCTTCCCTTGGTCACCTTGCCAGCGCTCTACCCCACTCTTTCCCGCTTCTAGTTAGGTCGCGAGCATCGACGGCACACTCGTTATTACTACGGACGCCTATACCTAGGCCTAGGTCATCATCGGGGACGCCGCTTCCCGCTCGCTCGCCCAGCGAATCGGCCTAACGCACACCTGTCCTGACATAGACAGCTCTTGACTTGATTATGAGTAACGCCTTGGCCGCTGGCGTACACAGCTTTGTCGACGCGTTCGTCCTTATTGAGGTACAGGATCCTAGCCTGACGTACGTGCGCATTAAGTTGTAACCCTGGTCAACCGAACACCCCCCTCAACCGAACACTTTTTACACCAAATCTTCTTATTTTAAAAAGCCCCTAACTTATTAATTAGTAATCTAAATAATATAATAATTTATATTATATATATTTAATATATATTAATTAAGTAAAAAATAAATTTAATAAAAAATCTTTTATATAAACTAAATTATAGCTAATTTAAATTCAAAGGTTTTTTAAAATATAGAATTTATATATATAATCTAAAATAACTTTTTATATATAAGAGATATAAACTTATAAAAATTAATATAGATTATTCTATATATAATTTTAAATAATAAATTTTTTATTTATTTTATTTTCTTATTTTTATTTATAAAACTAAATTATTATAAAAGTTTACTATATATTAGTTTAAGATATAATAAAAATAGAAATAAAATTTAAAAATAATTATATAAAGTATTTTTATATAATATAATATAATTAAAAATTAAAAATTATTTTATAAGATTTTATTTATTTAGTTTTACTATATTAATTTATAATAGAATTTTTTATATAATTATAAAATCTATTTTTAGTTATATATCTTATAAACTTAAGAAAAAAAATATTTTTAAGTTTTATATTATTAATATATATATAGTTATTATATAAAAAAAATTCTATAAAAATCTCTTCTATAAATATATAAAGTTATTTAAAAAAGATTAAAAAAGCTAATTTCTTAAAAATTTTAAGATTTTATTTTTAAATAATTCTATAAAATCTAAATTAAGATTAAAAAACTTATAATTTAGAATATAAATAAATTTCTATAATAAAAAAATTATATTAAAATACTAGATATTTTAAAACTAATTTAAAGATTTTATTTCTAAATATAGAAATTCTAAATATAAATATTATTTAAAATTCTATAAATTCTAAAATTAGACTTTATAATTTTATAACTAGATATAATTTATATTATATCTTAAAGAAAATAATATAATTTTCCTAGATTTTTTAAAGTTATTATAAAGCTATAATAAAGGTTTTAGATAATTTTTTTAGTTAAAAAAAGTGTTCGGTTGAGGGGGGTGTTCGGTTGACCAGGGTTACAACTTAGCGCTTTCTCTGCCCTGGGCTCCGCCATCAAGACAGCTGTCGCTGCTGCCACAAGGGCACTGGATAAACCGGACACCCTGCTTGTTATCAGCTCCCTCAAGTTCGCCGTCAACACCCTGGTCGACATGCTCCTTATCTCGCGCTTTCACGTGGAAAGTCAAAAGCCGTCTATTAACTTGTAGGCGGGCATCCAGCTCACCTGCAACATGGTCGCTACGTTTGCTAGTCTTGCCTACTTCCTGTGGAGGATGAGTTGGCCGTGGTGGCGGCCACAGCGGTCGCTGGATGGCGAGACGAGGCGCGACTTTATGCAGACGCTGCCCACTTTTCGATCCTTGGTTGTTCTTCTGCGACCTGGCCTATTAACCTTCGCTGAATCCGCGATTCGCAACGCCCTCTACCTGTGGCTTGTTTCAACCATATTGGCCCTGAGGGCGGGAATATGCCATAGCATGGAGCATCTTCAACACGATCCGCTGGGGGGCTAGTCATGGTTCCCGATCCAATCCCTAGAGGCGGCAACTCTGGCCTTTGTCGGCCACTTATGGGGAGGCTGGCGCCGCGAGATCGGTAAGGAGTAGAGGAGACCGAGAAAGACACCTATACACACCATTCTTATGATTGTTAGACCGTTCATCATTTCCCTCGTCATTGCCCTGGTCGTCGAGATCCCCATTGCTGTTTTCTTATCATTCTGGGGCGCCGGGGCCTTCGCTCGCTTTTGGGCTAGCCGGACAAAATAGCAGATGTGAAGGCTCACATGTGGCGGACTATTGATTGGTGCTACATATTCTACGCCATGTCCACGCAGCTTGCTGCCTTGCTTCTAGCGACGCGTCCCCGTTGGTGTCTGTATCAGAGCCTTGCGAGCAACCTTTTGTATGAGCCTCCTTGGGCTATCGTCTGTCAGGTCCAGGATTTAGCGGGCGGACACGCGTGGACATACCATGTTTCAGACTCATGGTCGGCCTTTCGCATTATACATGCGTAATTTCCCTTTACTAGACGCGGAATGAAGGATCAGAGGCCATTCGCGCATGCTCTAGAATCGCCAGTACACCGTCATCTAACAATCAAACTCTGCGCTGACAGCGAGACAAGAAACAACGTTGCTAAAAGACGACCGAAAGGAGTTTCGTCGAGACTAAAAGCTAGAAGTGATGGTTGTCGGCTTGCAGGATCTGTCAGGTCGCTCGGAGTCAATTAAGCAGCACCCGAGGGACTGGAGCAGGATTTTTAGCTGAGTCAACGCCTCAGTTGCGCCTACTTGAAGGCATCCAGATCTGGATAGTATCGATAAGGTACAGTCACGCTTCGTATCCCGTTTAGTCATGGATTCACAGCAAAAAAGTGTCATAATGTAACGCAGACTATTTTGGTTGAGAATGCCAAGTGTCACGAGGTCAGCTTGGCTCGTCCCAAATTGTGGGCGTCCACAAAACTTTATTCTGTCTGTTTAGAACTATTGAGTAACTGTTCTACTCTCCATATCGGATGCCACCTTTGCCCCCCTCACAATTACATTGTTTATGATGAGTTTCACTTCAGTTGGTTCTTCACCGATTTCGCTCAACCACAGTCCCTCTGAATGTAGAAGCCCTCTCTTCACCCCGGCGGGTAGTGATGAGTCTAACGAAGAGGGAGAGCCTCACACCGAATGGGTAACTGTATTCTCTCGAGATCAATCGCAACCATCAACCAGGAACGATAATGGTAACGCACATCCACGAATGAATAACGTTGGTTACCATGCCTCTATCTGTAGTGCTCTTGGGCACCTCCATGATGAAGCTCAGAGAACAGCGAGCAGAATTCTCGATTGCATCTCGCTCCATGGTCTAGACCGGATAAACTCTAGCGGTAATGATGGTACTATCTACAACTTCCTTGTCGAAATTGAGGCCGAAATATTCAAGCTGAGCCAGATTTTCACACCACCTCTCCAGTCCGGTGAAGAGACAGGCAGAGCAAAACAGAAAAGGAAGACGATCATGAAATCAAATCCACGTATCCAAAAGATTCACCTTCGGCCTGTGAAAGCCATTATTGGTGACGATGACGGCTGGATATGTAGATGGCAGCTGGGGATGTCTAGAGAACGCTGCTGGGTTACGAGTGTTACAGGAATGGACACGAACCAGCGAGAGATCGACAGCGAATTTTTATATCTAATGGGGCTAATAGGGGGTTGTTTGTCCGTTGATGTAGACTTAAACGGCGATTGGTCGCCCATCCGGGTCCGTTGGAACGAAGAGAAGAACCTATTTGACGGTCAAGACAAGCTTGAGCCAAATATAAGACTGGAGGTTGATCCTAAGGAAATGCTTGACGTGATGAATGGATATGGCGTCGGGCTACTGAAAATGAATCCCTCTTACCTTTAACCAAATAGTCTTTTAGTCCGTTATTCTTTTCTCTTGCAGACATGATTCTGGCCGAGTTCTCGCCTCGTATCCTTAGACTATGTTGCCCTCAGTGCCTAGTTGAGCAATACAGTCGCAGCGGTGATAGGACCTTCACTGGGATGAGTTATGTATCAGAGCTTCAGGGATAAATCAATAATACACCGTCCTTTTAGATTCTGCGTATAATACAAATAAACAGCAATAACTTTTATCATAATGCATTAAACGTGGCTGGCGTAAGATGAAAAGATGCTTTTCAAAGCTGTAGGGGCAAAATGATTGAACCTGAAACTTCCTCGTATATCAATAGCACTAACAACCAATCGCATGGGAATGGATTGTTCTACTTTGAGATTATGCTGTACCCCAGAAGTGACATTAGCGGCGTGATCACCTAGCACTCGAGCAGGTTCTACATTTTTCCACTGTACCGTCTCGAAGAATCATGTTCGGACTACTACCTTCTACGCAGCTAATAGACCCATCTAACTAAAGGCGAAGACTCATATCCCGTATCCTGGAAAACACCAATCGCTGGCAAAGAGTCAAGATCTCTCCACCGGGAATTTTTCTCAGTGTCACCGCTAAAGTCGCCGGCTGCACCACCGACACTAACCAGCTGACTTTTCGTGTCCTCGACTTGGCCTACCTCCCGAGGCCGGCCCCTGCCTCCACGGCCACGCCGACGCCGTCGTCTACTTCGACTTCAACGCGGTCCGCCCGCTGGGAGGGTCGGGCCACTCCGTCCACTCCCTCTAAACGGCGACGAGGCTCAGAGGGCGCCAGCGTTGCAGGTCCTTCGTACAACAATCAGCTTCCACAATCCACAGAAGATCATGCTCATTTGTTAATTGCAGAAGATAGCGCAAACCCCTCCGCTGATTCCCCGTCTCCGCCAACGATAGCCGACGCTGGCGAGTTGCATCACTCTATATCCTTCCCCGGGTCCGGACGTTGAGACCAGGCCGCACCGCAATCGCCATGCCCCGAAGAAGTATTCTCACGAGGAAAAGAAACTTGCATTCGTGCCGAACTCCTCGTACATTTCCTACATTTCCTATGATTCAAAGGCGTAGCGTAGCCACCAATTGGATCGTCCCCTACTATTTCCTCGTCTTGATGTATACACACCCTCGTGTGTCTCTTCCAATCCGCTTTTTGTTGATCTTTTCCACAGTACTCCACCGCCTTACTCACGTGTCGGTGCCGCGAGGCACCAAGTGCCGGATGTTTCCCCTAAGCTAGAGTATTGATCTTATCTTTCTTGTTTCTCCTTGCGCAATATAGTGAAAGGGGAAATGGGTGTCGCAAATATTATTAGATAACTATTTATAGGGGTTATTTCTAGGCATGTTATCTAAAGGAAAGGTCAGGACGATCCATGGATTAAAACGGATGGCTTTCCGTTATCTGAGCCACATCGACGAGACAGGGGATTGTTTTCTAAACCATGGATAAGACCGGCGAAAAGTCATCCTTGTTCATGGTCTTGGCCATGCCTGTCTGCATGATCTAGCTTGTCAAGGGAATATCTGAGTAGGCGCTTAAGTGGAAATACAATGGATACAAAACAGTAAAACGGAAAGAAGCTGAAAACACAGCATTATCCCAGGATTTGCATGGCCTTGTGGGATAATTAAATCAGTCCAAGGTGAAGGTCCTATTCTGGCAGATGCCTCGAGATATGAACAAGCATGCCCACAAGCTGGCGAATGAGGCATTCTATGACGGCTGATTAGTTTAGTTGTAAATAGATAATCAGCGAGGACAGAGTTAGCAGGAGGGTTTTCCCAACTGCCAAGCTGCATTAGTTACTACGAAAGTCTCCTCCTCACCCACCGGCTTCATCACATTAAGCAGATCATTCAAGTATAGCAGAAGCCAAGAGATGCTAAATCAAGTCAAATCACGATGCCAAGTTTTCACGAAATCGATATGTAGGGTATTTCCATGCTCGAAATTTTGGAAGAGATGACCGCAACAACACCGGAACTGCAACGGATAGGGCTGGAGCCGACGACGAGGCCATATACCTGGTAATTAAGGGCGTATATCTGTAGCAGAAGGAAAAGGGCAAAACTTTGACTGATAGAAGTCTTGACCCCCTGATCGAAAAACGCGAGGATCGAAACGATATTGAATAGCTATCAAGTATGTATAATAGCCATCCTATAAATGATTTTCTCTGCTTTTTGTAGTAGTGACCTCTTCCTGCGTTAGTTTCAGTCTATTTAGGCCATATCTTCCGCGTGAGTAAGTTGTTCGCCAAATTCTGGCTCCACCTCTTGTTCGTACGTCCCCATTGCGTGCTGCATTGGCAGCCTCAACCAGGCCGCTCGTCTTGCACAGAACCTCGACGAATGGTAGAGGGCGTCCACAAGCACATAGTAGCCAGACGAGCAGGAGTGTACTGTAGAGGGCCTCGCAGCCATTTCTAGGTTGTGAGGGAACCGGTGCTGGGTCCTGGAGGGTGTGGACGAGGGCGTTGAAGAAGGGTCAGAAACATTACGCGTAACATTATACCTGACAAAACGCCGGAGATTAAGCAGATGAATGATCTAGCAATTGGGGATAGAACTAGCTAGATGCAGTAGGGGAAAGGGTTCGGTAGCGTATCCTAATTCATTCCTCGGCATAGAGGACCTATAATGAACACGGACTACAAATAAAAACGAAGGACAGACCAAAAGCGGAACGAGTACATGGATTTCTATATGTAATCACCAATCTCCTTTACTGCAGCAAAAGTATACCTATACTCGCCAGGTAGAAAGAAAAGCAAATCTAGCCTCATTCAGGAGCAAAATGGTAGACATAGACCCGCCGCAGACTGCTGCAGTATACGATGCTAATGCAAGAGAGACACGTATATCCGATTTTGCAGCCATAAAAACAATCGGGCTTACAAGCCCCCGAGAACAGCCGCCTTCTTGTTTTCGATGCCGAAGCCCGAGCAAAAGACTTATTACACGCACATCGAATCGAGACGGAAATGCTGGGCGTCTGTACTGTAAAGGCACAAGTTGCGCACAATTACTAGCATTTGCCGATGAACGAGGAAATGGTCCTAACAACCCTCTGTGCGAATTCGCAGCTTCAAGCAAAAGACAAGTTGCCAGTCGACAGAAGGGTCGTAAGATTCATTACGTATGCGGGCTAGGGAAAACTTGAATACACATTTTGGACGTGCTTCTAGTCTTGCTCAGATAATTTGCAACATGGCTAATAACGACACCAGCTTCTCGCTGTTAACAGTTACCTCGCCTTCTTCGCCCAAACTCAGGCACGGCCTACAAAAGTCGCATTCCCAAATAAAAGCGGAAGGTCTTCATCTTGAAGGAGGAATTAAGTGGGGCGGGGTTGCGACTTGTCTTTGTAGTATGTACATACACATGTACAGTATATACATAAGTCGAGCTATGTACATGTACTGTAACTGCGAATCACTCAATGAAGCCAATTTTTGGAATCACGCAAGCCCAAAATTCGGACCCGCCCGTGCCCTTATTTTGTCACAATTGCTATGTTTATAATGTTGGGCTGGTCAGTAGGTACCGTACACATTTAGTAATTTTCATTTCCTAACAACGAATGGATTCTCTCGGCGACCTTATTCATGAAGCCGATAAGGCTTTCAAACCTGAATTGAATGTTCTTCTCTATTGCGAACTATCGTCAGATACCAAGTCCCTTCGTCGCAAACGACTACGTTACGGGATTAACTCGCTACCTGTTATCCCTGAAGACTCTCTAGGACTTCTCGCTGGAAACACTCTGTCTTGGATAAATGAGTAGTTCTATAACTGTAATATACTCTTCAGTTACTCCTAACTTCCGATGTGGGGCTATCGTTATCCCGAAATTCGATTGAATAAAGGGCCTTCTATTTTAGATACCATTCTAGTATGGACTTCATTCAAAACGACAATAGCTGGTATTGACTGTAGTACTTCTGAGCCTTGCTATGAAGAGGAGATAAATGTAGAGGAGATGGGATCCTAGCTTGAGGATCTCAGTTTAGGGTATGAATGCATCTCCGCATTAGGCTATTGGAAACAAAGTCTAAATTATCGGGAACATATAAGAATCTTATCTGTTGAAGAACCCTTGAGTGAACCCATGACCCTCCACGATCAAACTAGCACAAACGTCTTATTTATTCAAGGTGCCATGCCCATATGTACAGGTTGTTTGACCCCAAGCCACTTCACATGAAGCTATATTCCGCCACCGTTTAGTGACCTTGCTCTTAAGCTGCCCCAAAGCGAGACTTTCATCCGTATCAAGTTGAAGCAGAATTCGATTCATGATTGGGAATAGTATATGAAACTCGCGATAATCCTGTTCGGGCCTTTTGTTTGTCTGTAAGTATCTTTGAGGTCATCTTTATAGGGTCCTGCAACCCAATGTCGGTTTTTGAACCCTCATAGCTCCACTAAGTTTAAATCATAACGAAATCGAATAACCTTTTCTTAACACAAGACTGTAATTCGTTGTATCGAGTGTGGCCGGTCGTAGGGCTCTCCTTTGAAGTCGACGGCGCCGCTTGGGTGGTTGATTTCCAGTATCCTGGATGTGACAGCGCTTCATTGTGAAGCAAATTCCAACTGAGTATATCTAGATTTCGGGTGTAATTGTTGTTTGATGAGCCAATGAAATACTGTTGTGCGCAATAAAGGTTATGCCGCGCCCAGCGTAAGACTGTTTATAACATCATTATGCAAATTAGAGGGTAAAGAAACAACCATTGTCTTAGATACAGCCGTAACCATCCCCTGTTCGATTCGCGCGGTCCGTAAAGCCCGATCCAACATTCTCCAATGTGGCATAATCGACACGCCACGTTAAGCTACAGGTTAGCCCAGGGAAATGAAGAATATATAGATTGCCTTCCATTTACGCGGTCACGTAATAGACTCGGATCTATTACAGAGTTTACAAGAGCTCACGTTTTTTAATGAGATAATTTACACTTTTGAAATTTGCCTTTAATTAATATACTAGTCAGCTATATAAGGTATTGGCCTTGGATGTAGACTTACATAGCATCGTAGTGCCGTATATTTCGTGATACATACTGCAGTTCTACTGTGTGCATAATGTCCTGCATTGGCATGAGGAAGATCATTTTTTATATGTTATTACTTAATAGGACGAGGACTTAAACATGGTCCCCTTAGGTAAGCACAACGGTTGGATGCACCCCATCGTTTATCAAAGGTATCGAGATTCTGTCCTACACTGTGGGCACCATTGTTCTTGGCTTAGTACTTAAGAGAATTTAGGGGGCTTATTGATTGGTCATTGTCTCCTCATGCTGTAGGATGGTGTGGAACATACATTAAGGTACTTTTAGGTACTTCTTTTTCTGAGTAAGACATATAGGTAGAGCGGAAGCTAGTTATGCTCTAGACTGCAGCAACAGCCTCTGTAAGAGTACCTAAAACTAATGCCTTTATAGTAGGTATACATATATTATTGTTGTGGGTAACCGGACCTAAGTCACTCAAGATACATCGATAAGCGTGATGGTTGTATAATCTTATTGGTAGCCCCAAAGCTGGGTCCGACAGACGGTGGCCAACTTCAAGTCCCCTAACGGGCTATTAAAAGGTCTACCCTTCCTACATAGACTAAGCGCTGTATCTCCATCTTTCCACTAATTTCCTCCATGACGACTAAAAAGCAAAAGACCCCCACAAAGTTGGATGAGATAGTAGATCTTCTCAACGAGATACAGCCTCAGCTAGACCTACTAATAGATCTACATCCTTTGCTACAGCCACTATTACAAGTTATAAATAAGTATCAGTGCGAGGCAAAGAAGAAGGAAATTGCTTATGTACAACAAAAGCTCAGCAATAACGAGCTCTTGAAAATCAACAAGGTCCTAAACCATAAACTTGAGCAAGTTCAGACTAAATTGAATCTACACACCAAATACTACGAGGAGGACCTCGCCGAGGGATTTGGGCAACGTGGGAGGCCTATACAGCTACGATCTTCTAGTCAGAAAAGAGCACAGAGATCTAAAGAGCCTAGACGCAGCCTTAGGCTTCAGCGCCTTTAGTAGCTTACTTTTCTCATTACAGTTAGAAAATAAAACGATACTTATAATAATATCTTATACTCTAAGTTATAAATACGTTTTGTTTTTAGCTCTGGTCCTCGCTAGCACGGAGGTCATAAGCGAATTACAACTAGTAATCAATATACCTCTATGCGCTGTATTTCAAGTTTTCCACCCCACCGTGAAGCCTACATGGCACTGCTAACAGCTTTCGCGGAAGGCGCGCATTCTCGACTCGGTTGGGAATTGATGACTGAGTGGCCCTTCTCGCCACCTTAATACAAGCACCTGCAAGGGTGGCAAAAGAGGTGGGCTAGGTCGAGATACCTGGGCGCGCATCCCTACATTTACCCTACGATCTATGTTGCCGTATGTAAGCTAGCGTTCATCTTCTTTTATCTTCGGGTCTTTCTGCCCTTAAAGTTCGTTTCGTGTTGCGGTGTACTGTCATATTTGTCTTCATATTCGGAATGGTCTTGTTGATGTTCTAGGATTTTGAGTACCGTCCTGTTTCCTACTGAAGCGGGCAGAGAGGAAGCTATACACACACACAATACCCACAACCACGATAAAAAAGCATGTGGCACGCCGCGGGTATCGCGTTAGCTGTGAATTAATGTCAGTGTTCTTACATGGGTGAACGCAGCCCTCAGCATGGGGCTGGACTTTTTCACGACTGGCATTCCGTTCTCCTAAATCGGGGCACTTCACTTTGGCGGGAAGAAACTATTACTTAGTGCCCTTGTGCCTCTTTCTCGCAGGTTAGCTCGCTTATTCATGTATCCACTAGTGTTACCCCCAATGCGACATGGCAAAAAGTTGAGGTGGCTGTGTGGTCTACGATTGAGATTAGTGTGGAGATTTTCTACGCTTGCCTACCTCCAATGCGGGCTTTAATAATGCGTGGTTTTTCACTCTCGCCCCGGCCACGTGGACAGGAGAGAGGGCTCTGTTATGTGAAATGACCGACTTGGCACCACCAGCGGCGTAACCGCACAGGGCATACAACTACCAATACAACCTGGCGCGATTTACCACGATAAAAACATATTCGTTTAAATATAGCTATTATGATAAGGATCGCTAGCGATTTCCCATAAATACAGTACATCCATACCGTACACAATATTAGGCGATCAAGGATTTGGGTAGTGGTGGGTAGTATGGAAGGAATTTTGTGGAATATATCCACATTGGCATGTCTCATCTATACCCTGATGACCAGAAAAATAGTCTCATTCATTTATCCTTGCTTTTTCGCCGGTTTACTCATATCGAATACCAAGGAGAGCGACCTCTCGATTGTGGACCTACGCGACCCTCTGGATTTATGCCTGTTAATCACCTTTTGTAGCCCATTTCATCGCTGCATCCTCTATTTCTCGAGGAGCTTCCGCTACACTCGCTTCTACGTTACCCTTCGCGAATCGGTCATTGTCATGGGAGGGAAATATCCGATTTGAATCTGGATTTGAAATTTCTAATAGATAGGATGAAAAATAAGAGAACCTCGTTTTTGCTTGATTCGCTCTGTCTCCTGGCCTGTCATCAAGCTTCCAGCGTCTTTAATCTCATCTTCAATCCTCTGATCAGAATCCCAGCTATTCCTCATGTTTCTCATGAAACAGACCATATCCTTGATGTAACATCTTTCTTTATCGTTGACTGCGGCATTCCAAGAAAGCTGGAATGCTTCCATGAAAGACATGGCAGCAGGTGAGCCTAATGATCGCACGTAGGGACCCATCCTCCAGACTTGTATGCTGACCTCGCGGTATATGGGAAGGTTCTCTTCATACTTGGCTCCAGGTTGTTCTAAGTCGTTGATTATTCTTAGAAGAATTAACCTGATGGTTAAGAGTTCTCGGAATACTTTGAATATCCCGGGATCCGAAAAGTTATACTGGAACTCGAGGACCGGCTCATCTGTTGGTTCTTCGGTCCTTGATTTTCGGGCGATCTCATTCAGATAGTGACTGTGCACTCGTAGACGCGACTCTGCTTCGTATAGCATTTTAATAAATTCAGCGTCTGTCGAACTCTCCCTAATGGTAGCGTTCCAGGTCGGCCACGCATCGAAGCAGGAAGCTATGCACCGCATTGCTGGCAAAGCAAACTCTTCAATGTTTTCATCAACCCAATGATGGTCCTGTGTGTCTGCCATGCGGTTGATTAGTCTCATGAATGGTATTTGATTTACTTTGTCGCGAAAGCCTTGGGTAGCCCAGTGAAATGTCTATAAGGGTAATTAGTTTTATAGATCTCTCAAGCTGAAGTAGAGAAATACGTACAAACACCCAGCGAATCTCCTGAGTCAGGGCAACATCCAATTTATCATCTGCATTAGTTTTTCCCCTTGCAAGGACTACCAACCTCAACGCCTGTAGATGCGGTTCAAACCAGAGGAAATTTATTCCGTTGGAAAATAGGGTTGAAGCGCGCTCGAGTAATGCAACAGATGCAAGTGTCTCAAGTGTGGCTGCGTCCGACTCGCCTTTCAATGCGGCCAGAATTTGGCCGATTGGTTGGGCGACCTCGTTGTTCTGATGTTTACCACGCTCGAGAAAATTTTGCCATTGTACCCAGAAATAGTTGACACAGTCGCGTAGACAATCGCTGTTGGCTAGACGATTAGGGAGGTACTGCAAGTAGCTCATTCGAAACGGCGCATGTCCAGATTGTAAAATATCAGCGATCTGTTGGCGAGCTGTGTCCAAGCTAGTGGGTATGATCGCTATTTCATGAGTCGGTTCCCTAGTAGTTGGGTACTCACTGGGCGCGGGTGTAGTGCCCAAAGAACTGGCGGGGATAGCCGCTAGCGATGTAGATTCTTCAGTCGCTGGGTATAAGTTGGCTGTAGGTGAAGTGTCCATGGCATTACCGGGGCTCAACCAGCTGGCAAGGGTAGCTAATGATATTTCGGGAATAGCTACATCGTCCATTATACTGTATGAACAAGGAAAGTCCAGGTCGTAGGCTGTAGGAGCCGTCAGATCACACGCCGAGTTGGATGAATGATCATCAGTATGATTTGTCCATTCACATTCTGAAGAACTTAAGTTGCCGGTTGTAGGTGAAGCATCCAAGGTATTACCAGGGCTGGCTACCGACTTCTCAGTAGTAGCCACTGATATTTCGGGGGCAGCTATATCGCGTACTAAGGTGTATGAATCATCTGCAGTGCAATTAATCCATTTATGTCCCGACGGCCCAGGACAATCAAGATTCATTCTTGTACATCGCCCGCAAGGAAACTGTAGGTCACACTGCATGGGGGTCAGTAAGTATCGAAGATGTAAGACTAATAAATATTAATTACCTTGACTTTACTTGTCCTGCATCGTTGACACTTGTTCGGATATGGAGTCCCGACCATTGTCTCGTGATTATTTGAGGATTATACTGTCTGTATGGTGAACTTTGGAGGATGAGCGCCTTATTTATCTACATTTGCAAAAGACCCCCTTCCTTGTTGTTGGTTAACAACCAACAGCTATTGCGGGAGCTGTGGTTATTTCGACTGCACCCTGGCACTGTTACGGGAACTTTTAGGTGATATGCAGCTCGAATTTCGTTGGTAGCTGTTGGGTCAATATGCTTGTAACAACCCCTGTACCAGGAGTGAATTTTATCTGCACATGAACCAACGGTCATAGAAGGAGCCACTACCATCCTGGCCAATTTGAGGGAGCGAGATCTCTCATCGTGCTTCAGGAGTGGTTTGGGTGGGAATGATGCTTTGTGTAAATCTTCGGTAAGTTCTCAAATCTTGCCGAACAGCATCCGGTTACTAGTTCATAGATTCCAGCCGTGTACAGGCCTATTGACATGAGTTGTTGCTCCAGCCCTAGCTGCAGCGACCAGGGTCGATCGCAGCGCCGTCAAGACACCACGTTATACTGCCCGATCTAGTAAGAAGCATGATCCGCCGCTGTTTGTTTCTGAAAACAGTAGGCATTTAGCGAAATGCTATGTCATTGGCTTGGGTAGTTGGTTACCCCGTATTTTCAAAAAGGACTTTGGGTATCTTTGGTAGTAGGCTTGCCGTGGCTACAGTTGTTTATTTAGGTGCCTAGTTTGAACTTTATCATAGGCCAATCGTAGATGCCGTGCATGCTGTAGGGCCCGGAGCAGGGTTATACATTGCCTAGCGAAAATACTTTGCGCTAGCTTCTGTAAGCTCACCGAGCCTCTTCTCATTCTTTACTCTGTTTGGTGCGATCTTACATAGCAAGTAATTTGCATAAGCTGCAGCTGTCATCGCTTCATAGCCTTTCTACTTTTTATCTTTGCGTGCGTCGGAATAGTCGCAGAAGCCACGAATGACCAGACAGGGAAAGTGTGTCATCAAACCAGCGGCTTCCATTTCGAAGCAGAGAACGCCATGCTCCTTCGCAAGCACATCCCGAAGCAAAGCGTCCTTCATTAGCTTATTCGCTTCAGCGAATAGGCCATAGTGGATAGAAGGATTGTCTTCGTCTTCAGCCTTCAGCCCGCTCAGGCCGCACTACTAGAGTAGATGGATCATTGCCACAGGCTGTCGAACAGCTGGATTCGTCATTTGGTGAATGAAGCACTCCAGTTTGATACAGTCGTTCAGTGCTTAGTTCAGGCCGCCCCGTATTGTTTCCGTAGTCTCGGCTTCTTTTCAAAAACACCATTGATAGATTTTTCAAATGATGTCCTTTACCCTTATATTGCGCCATGAGTCCGTTCACAGCGGTTCAGGAAAGCCATACAAGATCAGGAGTCCAAAGAGACGGGATCTTGAATCAGCCGCCGCCGATTCTACGAAGTCATGCTGGAACACCCCGCCCTTCCCACTGCCTCACCACGACATCCACAAGCCGGATATCATGCTTGCGACTCGGTGCACCGCCGTCAATGCCGACCATCAAGCCGATTTTGATGTTGGGGAAACTGTGGAGCATATCTCTCGCGACGGTAGCGGCGGACGATTTGTCGTACTTGCCGTGGGGATGGACAGCAATAGCAATATTGTGTTCCCGATCTTGCCCCGTGTGTAGTCATTGTTGTCGTTTGTGGATACAAGTTCAGGGTCTTCGTGCTCTTAGTCGAGGAAGGCTTTGGCAGCAACATACTTAGTTGCAATGGCGCAGATCCAGCCAACTGTGTAGTCGTTCACATTGGACATCGTCCGCAGTTGTCCCCGGTAAGGATCTATTTTGACGGGAAGGTAAAGGAGATGTAGAGCTCCTCGTGATGGTTGAGCCCAATTTTCGAGGCAGGTTGATTTAGTCGCGGCGTGCTCGAGGTGATTCATTCCGATTAAGCGCCAAGGCGATAGCCACCCCACTTGTTAGGTAGCAATGTGTCAACGCAAATGTGAAGCACTAGCTTGGAAGAAGCGAGGGCAAAATCACGGCATGTCTTCGCTTGGTCCGGGGGTCAGTCCGACAAAGCACAGATTTTCCAAGAAGAAGAATCATCGAAGGAATGAAGACAAAGGTTGAGCAAATCCACGAGATCTACGAAATGTCTAAGGGGTTTATTGCTGCCTAACCAGCCATGTGCGGCTGAGCGCTTATGTTGGCCAGCTAATGCACGGTGGCTGGCACTTCAATATGGATCTGATGGGAATGAGGCGGTTGCGGGGCATTGCAATGGTAATAAATTGAAAAAGCCTTTTCTTGGACCAGGTGTGGCTGACCATCGAAGCGGGGAGAGAGGAAGCTCCAGACACCCACAACACCCACAACCACAACAACAATGATATGTGGAGCACAGTGGTTATCGCGGTAGTTGACAGCTTCATCACCCACATTGTGATTCATCGCATGAAGACCTTCCTCATCTTGAGCAGTTGAACGGATTGAGAAAAGAGGGATCTCTCACGAAGGAAGCATTTGAAACGCTCGTCGTAGCGCCTCTTGAGGCCACAGCCGGCTTCAATTGAACAGAGGCAACGCGAATAGTCGATCAATTCACTCGTCAGCCACAAGTTCGGGTCTCAATTGAATGAAGGAAGAAGCGTGCGTTATCTGCCTAGGCCGCGAACAATGGCTCCTTTAAACTATCCGTTGAACGGCATGACTCGCGAAACCCGGACCTTTTATTCCTACTTCAATCCTCCCTAAATTTCGCACTCAACCATCGCGAAACTCACCAAGCCAACTTATTGAGGCACAGGGAGGCCTAATTCACAATGAATACAAAGGAAATAAACCTTCTGCAAGCATCAAAACTCCAGTAACTAGTAGTTAAATCAGACATCACAAAGGAAACTTTTTAATGAGAGCCAATCATCCCCATGCCAGCACCAATATTCATGTCAGATTCCTGCCTCTCAACTCCTCCAAGTCCTTCACAGGCCTAAGTCAATTGTCCTAGGTTCTTCGAGGTCGCTGCGGTGTGAGAGCAGGAGTCTGACGCTCTGGAAGCTCACGAGGCCGATAGAGAAGCCAGGTTCTGGTCCTCTAGCTGGTGCTGGCGTGGAACATGCGGTCTAGGCCAGCATAGTAGATCCCAAGTGAGGCTGGCTAGCATTGTGGCAGGCAATAGGCATAGTGAGATAGAAGCCTCTAACAAAGGTCAGGAATCCTCAGGGACGGCTGCTTGTGCAAACCATGCGTTCGATAGCAGTGGCGATACGCGGCGAGCAGGGGTTCTGGATATTGAACAGGCCAGCCCCTCGGAAGAACACAGAGAAGTTAGGAATCCAGACCATGATGCAGATATTCGTAACAGTATCTATCTTAGCCCAGAGGAGAGAGTTTTCGAAGCAGCCAGGTTGGATTGTCCAACCTCTCATGAGAATTTCTGTTGTGGAGGCAGAGGGTATTTGAGATCGCGATAAGTGAGCACGGCAGAATTACCTTCTTAGCTATCACGTATAGTTGTCCTCTATAGTACCTAACTCCTATAGTAATCACTGTGATGTTATCTACACTTCGCTCTCTACTAGCAACCCTATTGCATAAACCTCCAGTGGGAACCTTTCCGATATACCCTATAGCCGAGAACCCTGTTATTACAGTCTACAAATCCTTTGGATGACGTCGCCTGAAACACCAGCGTACAGGCTCGCTCTACACGGATCAGACTAGCACTAGCACGGCAGCGGCGACAGTACCAGGAGCCACGTTTTGAGAGGGTTAGGCGATGCTATAAAGCCATCAACAAGGCACTACTAGGACTACATAAATGTATATTCTACGATGCGGTTAAGAGACGCGAAATTGAAGTGGTAGATAAGGATATGTGTGACTGCTGATGAGCGTTCGGGACAATGGCAAGTCCTTTTTTGGTGCACCGGATAGGACACACAGCGCGAAAGTATGCAACAAGTAGCATAAGCGAAGATGGACAACCTCTCATTCTTCATGGGAGAAAAGGTAGCCTTACTCCCATCAGCGAAAATGCACATCGTCTCCATTTCCACTACATCATGGTCATTATGGCTAGTTCAAGCGGTGGGAGCTGCCGACTCATCTATGAACTACTACGCATGACCGAGTCGTAAACCCTGGCCTGGGGTAAGTGCCTGGATATTGACTAAGAAATAATGTATATATAGAAAGGGGAGTGTACACCAAAGGGTGTCTTATGTTTCTGGTGCAGGGCTAAGAACAATTGAATTTATAGCGTAGGCGCAAATAAGCGCTTTTGCGCAGCAACCGATTGTAAGCAAACTATCGTAGCTTACTGAAGGGTATGGTATCTAGTATGCCTTGAGGAACGAAAATCTCTTCCTTCCGCCTCGTCCTTCCTTTAGCTATCTGCGCTACACTTTACATCAGTGCCATGTCATAGTTTATCTACTATTAGGTACCGCTGATATCCATCTGGCCCTTCAAGTTCACCAAAGAAGTTTTGGAGTTAGTGGTATGTTTTCCTGTGATGATGGTTCAATACGACCAGAGAGCCTCTTCTATAGCTTATATGTAAGTTGGTCGGGTCGTTCACCATAGAATATGTCGGAGTTTGCAGTTACTAGTATTTTATCAGGTAAATAATCCAGATATTGAAAGGAACGTGAAGACATATACACCTTTTATCACCAATATTTCCCTCGATAACGTGAGATACTTCTACAAGAATTTAGCTTTCCTTGGATGCATAAGCTTGTGCCCACTTGGAATTCTCAAAGCCGTTTGCAGAGAGAGAGAGAAAGCAAGGGCCGAGATTGACGTAGAATTCGTTTGATATTATCAAGGTTCGAGATCGGAAGTGGGGGCCTGCCATCAAAACCCTCGTATTCGTCGGGAAGCTCTTCAAGAATTGCCTATTTCGCTATAGAAAAACCACTACTATCCTCTTATTATTAAGATTTTCCCCTTTCCATAACTACTGGCATTTTTTGAATACAGCAACCTTCCTAGTGATACTATCAGATCACTCCTGGCTGCATTCCCCCAGGTGCCAGGGGGAGAAGCCCTCCATGGCTTTGCAACACCTTCAGAAACTGAGGCCTATGGTCAACAAACAGTTCAAACCTGGTCGTAGACGTAGTCTATCGGGGCGAGACACCTAAGTCCCGTCTCAATTATCCCTCAGCTCCACTGTCATGGGGTTGCCTTGCTTCACCACATTACAAGGTTTCATCTAAATAATGTCACTTGAGGTACAAGTCTCGGAATAAGGGAGGAGGGTCAGTAGTACCTTTGAATGATACACGCGGGGGCGAGCGGAGAGTATATCTACGCTATATCACCGCTACCAGCTCACCAATCAAAGCGTATACTTCTCATCCCTCTCCCGAAGGATCATTTTGGGAAGCAAACGTATTGAGAGTCTATTTATAAGCAAGCCCATGGGTATAGCAGGATGATGGGTAGATGCTTTCAAAGAGCTAGATCGAATTTCTAACCATCAATCCCTGCCACTTCCCATGGCCAGATCCAAAGTTCTATTAGAGATCCTTACTACTTTGTCTCGGGCAGTTAGAGTGTGTCATTATACCTGATCCTTTACTTGGGCGATGTCCACCACCTCGTCTTGGTAATATTTCGCTCATAGTATATATGTCACTGCTAAGGCTGCTTCTGTCCGAGCAAAAAAAAGTGCTTCAATTGATTATTGGACGGCTAATTAGTGTAATTCCAATTCTTGCTGCTTGACTACTACCTGATTCGATATACCATCTCGGACCCATCTCGGACACTGCCTCAACGCCGCATAACTTCATTATCTTGTCGGAGGTATCTACAATGCGCTACTTGGAGAGACAAGTCGTAGTTTCATGTTACCACTTATCTCCGCCTGTCGTACGGAGCTGTTACAGAAAGACTAGATCAATGGCCAATGTAGATACATTGACCAGTAGTTCAGATGGTCCAAAAGTCGCAAAATCATACATGAGCTCTTCTTAGTTTAATGAGTTGTGATTCAGTTCAAGGGTTAGCTCAAGAGGGTCGGTTTCTTACTCTTTTCTAACACACTAAGCCCTCAATAGACTTTGATCATCATCAATAAATCACTTACGATTATTAGAGGCAATAACGACCGGTTGGCTAGGTTGCAGTGAACCAATCCTTCTTTTTAGTTGTTTCATCTTGGTCGTCGAAATCGCCTGGTCAATCCAGATTATAAATTGCTTGTTCTAAATCGTTGTCTAACCCAGGATCGTTGGAATCGCCCGGGTCATCGGAATTAGCGAGAATGTGGCGAATCAGTAAGGGTTTTGGAGGGGTCACGCCTCTCACTCTTATTGAAATCTAAACAGCTTGCCTTTTTGAGCTCTCCGTCGAATAATAAAGCAAAACTTAACTATCGTTTTAAGCTTAGACCTGGTAATGATCTTATATTGGCCAGATTTGCAGTTAAAACTATAGTCCTTAGTAAAGGTAAATGCTCAACATCACGTGTTGTTACCAGGCCAAACATGCAACTCATCGACAATCTTATACTTAAACTTGTATTGGAACATTTCAATTGCTATTATTCTTTTCCTCGCTTCTTTCAGAGCTGTCAAGTCTATCAAAGTCCTGTTGAGAGGTTGCTGTTCCTCGTTTCTGAGGGTTAGGGTGGTAGACATAAGTGCGGATATTGTTTTCTAATTTGACAGTAGCCTAGCCTTTAATAGAATGAGAAAATTAGATAAATTATAGCGCTTTATTTGTGATGATGTCTTTATTTACTCAAAAATCGAATCCTATAATTTTCGAAGTCCGTCGAAACCCTAAACCATGTGACGTCACTGGTGGCGTGACTGTTAACTTGAAGACCTAAATTTTACAATAAATAAGAGTTAAAGAAAGGTCTAGAGAGTCTTAGGAGGCGTCGCCACCCTCCATCCGATTATATGGCCGGTATGATCCCGAAGATTAATAAGCTCAGCTGTCTTATTTGGATTGCTTAATATCCGCCAAATAGGTGTTCCCTCCCTAAACTTGAGCTTCAAAGCACATATTTCATTAATGGCTTTTCTCTTTGGAAGATCATTAATCGTCCGTATTGAGTCCTCCTTGAGGCGGGTAAGAACATCTTCATCATAATAAAGCACACATGTTGATAGCTTTCCCCAGCTTCGTCGAAATAACCTTCCTGGTTGGATATTCTCTATCGATCCCTCATTGGCACCAATGCACCGTGTATCTTCAATTTGAAGTGTAATCCCACACTTGAGTTTTACCTCGGGGCATTCATCAAGAGGTTGTTCAAATGGTTCATGATCTTGCAGGCACTTAATGAATAAGTCCCTGAAATAATACGAATCGCCAGTCCAGTCATTGATAAGAAGGACTAAATAGGCCCCTTTACAATCCCCTTTGGCTACTCGATCAAGGTCACGGCCAACTAGGCAAAGGTTTGGACTATATGGCTGTTGGGATATGTTTTGAAGTTCGTTTGTATAAGTATCTAGCTTTAAGATAGCCTTCCAGATTCGAGTGAAAAGGAGTTTATCAGAGGTACTAGGTCTAGAAAGAGGAGGGAGATGCTCCAAAACTGAAATTAACAGCTCTGTTGGCAAGTTTAGCATTATATATATAGTAAAAGATATATAAGTAGTGTATATATCTATTCCACAGTTGAACTGATCAGGTATACATATATATATATATAGATTGTGACCAGTGCTGAAACTTGGTCTCGCGACTTGCCGTAATTCAGCCATGGTGCCACAATTTAGGCGCTGCTCAGCTCCACTCTAAATTCTAATTGGCCAATTAAAAACAAATCCGTCTTTTGGACCCAAAATATAGCCTTACTATCTATACCTTGGTGTATGTACCTATAATGAGTTCATACAAACCATCCCCAAATCTTGAATTGAAAAATGGAGACTTCAATTCTAATTGCTCTTATTGGGACTATCGCCACTGCATTAGGCGCAAGTTTACCATCTCGACAATACCCAAGACGGAGTTGCACATATAGAACTACTTGGAGGGCCTGTTATGCTCTGGTCTAGTGATATTTTGGTTAATGATTCTTGGTACCCAGTTGATACAAAGGGACAATCGGTATGACTTCAGCCCAGGGCGATTTTCATGCAAGCGAAGAAGTATGGTATAACTTAGGCACCCCTAAACCAATTACACGCATATTATGTGAATATATACAGTTTGGAGCATAACTAGCTTCCTCTTCTTAAACATACTCTGAATATCAACTGATACTCCACACAGTGCTATTTGCTATAAAAATGAACTTTATACAAAATCTACATGGATCGAGACTTAGAGCCAAAGCAGTTCTTTGTTCCATTTCCTGGACTTGGCCTAGAACTGGGCTCTCCCCATATCACAACCCACTCCAGAACCCCAGCCAAGGCTACCCGAGGTTTAGTTAAGACCCTTAAGGACACTGTTTTATACATACATATGATCTTGAGAATCGGACTGTCGATTTAGTCTAGAGCTGTGCATTTCGGGCCATATGGTCATGATGCTGCACTGAGATGAATGCATCTTAAGAGTAGATGCTAATGACTGCTAAACTAAAATTAATACGCCTCGTGTACAATATTCACTTTTGTCAACTATCTAAAGCTGAAACTGATGATCGCGCATGTGGATGACTAGTTTCATCTCTCTGGGGCGAACGCATGTTTGCATCAAGTCCATAGCTTTAGTTTTCTTACCCATAGAGTTCCAAGTATGAGACAAGTTATTCATACTCGTCAGTGTGTCGGGATGGTCTGCTCCAAGCTTCACCTGAAGAGTCTCCATCACCTGCACCTTCGACTTCTAGCCCCATTAGGCGATTTCTGGCTGTATCGGGTAATTTAACCTGATTTGTGTCAACTGTTGAAATTTAATCCTCCTTACAGTACGTACAATTTTCCCAACAGTCTTAATAGTTTTATCCGCAACCGAGATATTAATACTTTCCACCAGTTCAAATATGCTACCGCGCATATCCTGTAGATATGGAATAAGGTCTGTAGTTAAGGTTCCATAAAAGTACTTATTAATGATCTGCATAATTAGGGCGAGTGTTAGAGGACGAAAAGGGATATGTATTTTATACAATCTGGGACTACTGGTCACTCCCATAGATATACATAGAAGATGTATTCTACGCTATTAGAGTATATCTTGTAACTCATCCTTCCAAGCGAAGTATTGATAAGTAATGAAAGTGGTTATAATTGCGACCAGGTAAGCCCCCATTCCAGACGCTGACGAATTATCTGACGTTACCACTGCGAAAGTAACGACGCCGATACCAGTTACAAGGAGAACAATAAGTAAAAGTAATAGAACACAGCTCCAGTTCAACTCTTCATTGACACGGATGCCCCATCCTATAACCCGCTGGCCATCAACGCCAGGGTTACGTACTAGTTGCTCAGTGAGCTTTTTGGGGAAAGTCGTTATCCAAAACTTGTCAACATGAGGGCCCGGCTCTAGAAGGTGTGGTAGAGGGATACGGAGGAGCTCAACATCTTACATCAAGGTACTAAATTTAGCCCCTTTTCATCCTGGCATGCTAGGGGTATGTGCCTCTCCTCTGATATGGAACATTATTCTAATTGTGTAGGTAAATTCCCTCGCTCTTATTCTTCACTATCTACGTGTAGAAGGGTGGCTGCTTGACCACGTCTGAAAAAATGGATTTTTTAGTTGAGGTTGAGGATATCAGTAATACTAGGGCCACAAGAGTCACATATTGATGATAACATCGTTGAGCTCACATAGCCTGGAAGATAAGGTTGAGCCCATGGAAAAACAGGGCAATGGTGGCAGCATCAACAGTCCTGGCATCTCAGAGTCAGACATCTGCATGATTTCGGTTCCTTATTTGCCTCGACTGCTGCTACCATCAGATGACCACCTTCTCTTTGCCTTCGCCAGTTCTACATCGTAACGGCCACCCCGTAGTTAGTCGACTACAAATATGGAGATTCCATCAGCAAGCCTGGTAGAGAGACTTGTTTAAATCTGCCTTGCCCCATACGCGTAGACATCCTGTGGTTCGCCGGCACGGATGCAGAAAGGAGCGCGGCTGTGGAGCAAGCACTGTCAAGGGACGTGTCTTATGACGGGGCGACGGGCGTGGCGGATCGGGACCGAGAAACCATCCCCTCCCCTTGTTCAAGGAGAACGAGTTGGCGAAGCACCATCTGTGATTGGTGCCTTCGGTGTGCCTCATGGGAAGCCTTGGCTCTGTGCCGTCCGTCTGCTAAGAGATAGCATGGAGGCCACATCCTGAACCTGTCCTCGATTAACCGGCTTTCGTTTCAGGTATACAAGACAGGCTCCCTCAACCAGTCCATACTCTCTACTCTGGCCCCTAATTCCGTATCCCCAGCTCGCAGCACAGCCATTTGTCAGCCGGAGTGTGATCTTGTGCCAGCGAGGGTGGTCAGCAAAGAGACTGGGGCGTTTGGAGCCGTCTTTTCCATGTGGACCGCCTTGAATGTCTTCAGGGTTTAAAACCTTCCCTTCTCTGCTCTTCTTCTCTTATGTCTTTTATCTATATTTCCTTCCGTCACGCAGTCTAAGTTGACTGCCAACATGCCGTTTCCATTCACTCTGCTATGTGACCTTCTCAACCGACTTGAAAGAAACTACAAGCCATCGAGCGTCGACAAGGCCCAGGAAGTCCACGCCCGGACCGTTATCTCCTGGTTTCACAAACACAATGAGGCCATTCCACGACAAGGCATAGAAGCTATTGCTTTCCTGTCCTGTCTCTTTCCTGAACGGCGACCCGATCGTGTTTTCAACCTACCAACAAGACAAATCGAAAAGATTATAGAGCGAGCACAATGCCTTGGGTCATCTAGAATGAGCGAGCTACAGAGGTGGAAAGCCAATGACGGTCCAGACTTTGCGTCTTGCGTTGAGCGTGTGATGGCTATAACAGACTGCGAACCCAGGCTCGGTCCGAATGTGACTCTGAGCGAGATTGACGGGGTCCTCGATCAGATCGCTGCTTCATCACCATTCTCATCTGTGGCTCTGAAAAAGAGGATTAAAGAGAAATATGGCCAATCAATCCGAAGGGATAATTTGCTTTTAAGACTGTTCCGGAGACTGCGTAGCTCTGAGACCAAGTGGATGATTCGCATGCTATCGAAGAACTACAGTCCGGCTCAGGTTCCAGAAATGTTAGCAATGAGCGAATTTCATTTCCTCCTGCCTGACATCCTTCGGTTCCAAAGTACAATCCATGCTGCTGTCGACCTCCTAAGCGCCCCAACGATTAGATGCATGCCCGTTCGACCAGCAGTAGGTACTCGCGACGGACTAAGGGCGGCTGCCCGCCGGGAGCTCAAGCCACAAGTCGGGACAATGGCCACTCGGCCGATCTACGATAAGGCCAGAAGCATCAGACATTGCTGCCAACTAGCTAGCACCAGGCGAATGAGCGTGGAGCGGAAATACGATGGAGAATATTGTCAAATTCATATCGCTCTGAACGAATCCGGAACCTGCATAAAGATTTTCTCGAAGAGCGGAAGGGACTCGACCATCGACCGCATAGGAATCCATCGCCCATTGCGGGACAGCCTTGGACTCGATACAATAGAATGTAAGATCAAGAAGCAGTGCATATTGGAGGGCGAGCTGCTGGTATGGAACGATGATTATGGGAGAATCGAGCCTTTCCACAAAATCCGCAAATATGTGAAGCGATCAGGACGACTCCTTGGCGCTGCTCGGGATTCGCCCGCCGACTTGAGCGAGCATCTCATGATCATGTTCTACGACATTCTGTTACTGGACGACACACTCTGTGTCAGAGACAGCCATGAGACACGGCGACAACTGCTTCAATCTCTAGTTCGCCGTATTCCCGGCCGTGCCGATGTCGGATCCCGCGAGATAGTCGAATTCTCGTCGTTCACCGCCGCAGAACAGCTCAGCGAATCATTCGCTCGAGCCATTGCACAACGGTGGGAAGGCCTCGTATTGAAAGGTTGCGACGACCCATACTTCTCGTTCGACACAAGCAAATCGTTCATCAAGCTAAAAAAGGATTATATTCCAGGCCTTGGAGACACTGTCGACTTCGTCATCATCGGGGGAAGCTGCAATGCGAATGATGAGCAGGAGCTTAGAATTGGGAAGCTATGGTGGACGGCATTCTATATTGCATGTGTGGAAAACAAAAATGAGCTGGGATGTTCCATGGGATGTTCCAATTCTAAGCCGAGGTTTCGCATTGTGGATGTGCTCAACAGGCACAGTATCTCGAAAGACGATATCGTATACCTCAATCGACATGGATATTTCGGACGAGCACCGTTCGTCACGTCTACGCCGGAGTTCGACATCGTATTTGAGCCCGGACGGAAGCTGCAGCCAGCCGAGCTATTCAAATATCCGTTTACGGTGGAAGTGGTCGGCGCTGGCTTCGACAAACCTGCGAATGCCGCGTATTTTACTCTGCGATTTCCACGAGTGCTTAAAGTTCATGAAGACCGCTCGTTCAAGGATGTCATTAGCTTTGCGGAGCTGCAGGAGATAGCCACGAAGTGCCAAGGAGCCCCTGATGATCTACGAAGAGAAGAGGAAAGTTGGCTTCGGAGATTGCGAAGCGGCGGGCATCTGGGCGGAAGATCGAGGGAGTCTCGCAGCGGCGGTTTATCTTCACCCGCCAGTGGTTATGTAAATAAGCAAGGCACGTCGGATCAGGATGAGGGAACAACTACTGGGTCTCTGCATCAAGGTAATACTTCCTTCCGCTCGCCAAAGCGGAAGATTTCCCCAGAGGAGGTCTTGGCTGGCAGCTCAATTCCCAAGCGAGCAAAGCAAGATTGATGTCAGGGATGTAATAGAGAGTTGCCTGTAACAGGAATGAGATGACCCGTCGTAAGAAATATACACTTTACTTACGCCGCCTTAAAAACATATTAAGATGGTCTGTACTCTTCTTCATGAACTCGCGCTAGTTCAAATGCTGCGATCTTCCTCGGGTTCAACCCATAGAGCTCTTGAAAACTCATGATCATGGGGTGCCACAAATCCGGATCAATACGGTTCTTGTGATCAGCCATTCTAATGCTTTCTTCCACGTGGGTCCGGAGGACCTTAACCTCCAAGGTAATAAAGCCCTTTTTTACCAGAGCTGAATCGTATCATTCCAACGTTCAGGCCAACATAGGACAGCAATTTCTTTTTTTTATAAAAAAAAATTACTTTAAGCGACCGCATAGTAGCCAGCCACTGTTCGGCCGCGTGGTCTGTGCGCTAGCTCAGCAACTTCCAGCATATGAAATGCTTGAAACGCGTTGCTAACATTTAACCCTCCCCAGTCCTTCCAGTTTTAATCTTCCCAGCATCCAACGACCTTTCGAGCCCAGCAACCATATCTGAGCGCTTTCAATCAGCACCATGATCTCGAATCAACTGGCTATTCTATCATCTCAAATACCCTTGATACTTGCACATTCAAATTCCATTTCGAGATGTTGCCTCCTCCCCCCTACCAAAAGGAACTTCTCATTCGAATGGAGCTGTTCAGAGGTTGCTTGGATTCTGTGATGGCCATGCAGTATTTAGCATCCTCTTAACTACCGGCTGTGGTTCCGTCAGTATTCGGTGCTGGCACTGTGAAAATGGCAGATGGGAGGCTTGTTGAGTACTCTATTTCTGCGTATTGTACACGCTATACTTAGTCACCCACGGGAACGGACTTACCTTACCCCGTGATATGTTCAATCGTTCACGCATCAAACCATCCAGAAAATAAGCATCACTCCACTAGTCCCAAAACTTGGATTATCACTCTGGTCGGTCCGAAAAGTGGGATTAGTCCTCCAGTCCCAAAACTTGGACCTAAAAGAGGAATGCCAAAATAGGAATCGAGTTTCCCAAGGTAGAGGACTAGATTCCAAAACTTGGATCTTTTTGGTTCTTGCATTGTGGCCCCAAATTTGGGCCTTGCCGTCATAATATCCTATTAAGGGGCAATAAAGCGTAACTGGTGTAATAGAGTATGATAGATATTAGGCGCATCACTCTTGCCGATTGGACTCGTTTCAGCTTTAGCCCAAGCGACATGCTCAATGTTTGGATTTAAAAGACACCTGTGCCTATGGCGCGATCAAGATAGCCCTAGACATGGTAAAGTTCACAATTATAAGGAAGAGTACTCTTGGAGAGCTTGGTCTACGTAACCCTTGATTTGATCCGCCCAAAACTTTGCATTATTCGACTTCGACTTGATTTTGGCTTTCCGGTTTCAAGATCTCTTGGTAATCTAATCTGAGACAGCCTGATGGCTTCAACCTCTCTCCAAGCGTTTTCCGTGCTGAGTGCTCCCGATGGGAGAATACGTCGGAACATAGGCCGCAGTGTTGGCAAACAAACCTATCAATAGAGATCAACACACATGAAAGATTTACAGGAGAGATAGATTGGCAGGGCTCACTGGAAAATATAGCCATGTTGACTTCTACTGAGGCCCATATCGTAAACCGGGTGATCTCAACCGTCACTCCAGAGTTGGTAGAGATAAACAAAAAACCGAATACTCAATTTATAGCCTCGAATTCTCCCTATTGCACTCTAGAGGCTTTAGAGATACCGTCGAAAGCATGAGTCAACCTTCGGATACCCAGAGGTTGACGGCCATTCGGAGTATCGAGCCTCTCCATTGTTTATATCAACGTTTTGGAATCTTCCTATGCCTTCAGGTCCTTGCATCGGGCTGGTGGGCTTCGGGAGCTCCTTCGCAGGTTGTAGTCGTGAAGGTGAGGTTAAAGCGTCGCATGGACTAGATCGCCGAGGAATAACACAATTCAATACATTAACGATTCTTGCTGGTTGGTTGATCGGAACAGGAATAAGTAATAAGCACTGGATCGCTAGCATAATGCCGCGATGGCATGTTGAACCTGTCGAGGTAGGTCCAGGAGATACGCGCTGTATAGAGATAGAGGCATTGAGCAAACATGGCGAGGAGGTGAACCTTCCAAGACCGACTTTAGTATAAGTTAAACAAGAAGACGAGAACACAGTCCTCCAACGGACGGAAATACCTTGCAGTATTCTGGTGGTGGTGGCGGCGTGGAGCCAGCCGTCTGTGAAGGAGGCGTTGGCGGTCAGCATGTAGAAGATGACACGAGCCATTTATCTTTTGTCTTGCCCTCACCCCCTCTTACTTCACTTGCTGTTGGCGGCCCTTCCTCTTGTTGTAGTGTATATCTCTGCCCTTGAGCGAGAGCGATCAACACGGCTGTGATATAAGGGTCCTCCCATTCCTTGATTGGCCGGAGGCGTTGGTCCGCTTTTTGCCATAACTATACAATCAATCGTCTCACGCGAAAGCGTCTCATGCCAAAACGTCTCATGCCAAAACGTCTCATGCCAAAACGTCTCATGCCAAAACGTCTCATGCCAAACGTCTCATGCCAAAACGTCTCATGCCAAAAGTCTTATGTTAAAATACCCCATGCTAAAAAGTTGCATAATGAATGAAAAGTGCCACATTATACTACTTAAAATTTAAGACTTTCTGTTACTTGGGGCCTCCGGAAAACGCGACTTTGAATTATACATCGATGGACCCTGTACAGCGAGACTATTAAGCGAATGCTGCTACCACTTGTGCGTCAACCTTACAGATTGCGCCAGTGTATCTACCAATCTTGTACTGCCAGACAGAGCACTATTTCCCGGAAATGTCAAAGTATGCTCCGAGTGTGGGATGTATAATCTTCATCAGAAATACCATTTCACGGTTGTCTCGAGAAGTCGGGTGAGATAGCTGGTTGGGAAAAGATATTAACATAACACGGCAAACGTCATAGCACAACAAAGTGCGGGCAGAGTTCAGTAATGATAAAACGAACCGTTCACTGCACAACTTTAGTCACGTCACACCATTAAATGATGGCGGCTAATAGCTTTCGACATTGCTATTTATAGTTTACCCTAAGCTCAGCTTCGTAGTTTTCATGCAAACACCATGGCTGCATAAGAGTGCGGGCGTGGCAGCCGCACACGTATCGATGACAGTTCATCGACATCACAAATATGTTCACAAGTGTGGTCTTGAAGCGACCGCCTTAGGTTCCGTTACACATTCATCATGTATAGTTAAAATCGCATGTGATCCGAGAGTTGCCTAAGCTGGCACCAGTGTTGTGTAGGTTCTTTATTTTTATTTTGGCTCGGCTGCCACCATGGGAAGAGAGCATTTTGCTTTTCCTAACGGTTCTTATAAACATAAACATAACATCTTCGGCCTCACTCTTCATACCCAAGAAATCACCTATTTCATGGTTATATCTCTCTAGACCCATGACCGAGAGAGAGAGAGAAAGCAGCAATGACAAACAATTCTACCGCTTCGACCTTCGCTGAGCAATGGCGCAACCCAAATGGCTTCTTGTCACTCCTGATGATAATTGGACCCATTATACAATCGGCACTTGCACAACTCACCGGGCCATTCTTTGTCCCCATCTGCTTCAGCTTCGGTTGGGCATCCTACGCATTCTCTGCCATAAGTGCTGTTGCCAGAGATGGACGATTGATGCCAGCGGCAGACCACGCCTGTAAAGTGATTAATCTCGACAATGGCTATGCGCGAGCTAACAGATCTTGGATCATCGGTCGGTTGTTGCGAGATCTGGAAAAGTCAATTTCGAACGAGGCTTTGTTAGTTGAGATCTATGAGGCCTCCGAACCTCCAAACGGATACATCCTGGCGGGAAAGTCTAGATGGTTTGCTTTGGGGGCTATTCTTGTTCAAATCGGCATCAGTATTATACCGTTTGCACTCTCTGGTGACTGGGGCATTTTTATCATTACTATGCTGGGTACTTGCCTGGCTATTGCAACAGCAGCATTGCCCCAATGGAGAGTGGAAAAGTTAGCCTGCAGGGCTAGGTCGGAAAAGAAGGTAGCAATCACAACAGGGAACGGGTCACGATACATCATGGTAATTATAGGAAAAGAGAATTGCTTGGATATTGAAGATCTAGCCGCGGGCGAAGGGCCACGTAAGGCAAGACCCTGGGCCAAATTTGGATGGTTCGTGAGGTACGTGGATAAAAATGGTGAGGAGCGTAAGGTTTCTCGCACGGAAGCCTTTAAGGAGTACACGAAAGACGAGGAACAAGGGAAGAGAGCGGCGAACCGGGCGAGCAGCGGTGAGATAATGAAACCCTACACGAAGAAACTCGGCCTGAGGAAGGAGGTAAAACTCTTTCGAGGCCTTCCGATAGACTTCTGGCTTACCAGGCTCTTTTGTGGCATCTTCGCACTTGTCTGGGCAGTGGTTCTGATCTTAGTACTAGCCCTGAAAAAAAATGCATGGTATTTGGCCGCGGTTGGAACGGTTGGAATGTCCCAGAACGCCATTGTCGCCGCAGCGAGCCTAAATCCGGAGGCCCGTGGGTTCCATTTAAAAAAGGACCGGGTCATGATTGGCGACAAGGTTATGGACGTGTTGATGGAGCTTGATGGATCGGAGCCGGGATGTGGAAGATCTTCGCTTAAGGAATTTTTCCCTGCTGGTCTTGATATTCCTTATGATAGAGGGGAGAAGGACTGGTGAGATCAGAAAGAATGGAAAGATCGCGGGCAGGGGGCAGCCAGTGAAGGAGAAGCGGGAGAGAGTAAAGACAAGGATTGATATGATAAGGATCGCTTTCGAAAAGAAAATTGCGGAAAAAGATACGACAGAGAGATCGTCGAGGAAACAGGGGCTCCAATTCGAGGAAAGAGGCCACTTAAGTATGTCGGATCACCCTAATTGGTTAAACAATAGGATAAAAGAGAGGAAAGAATGGTTGAGGAAAATTTGGATGAAGCAAAGGGGGAAAGTCTTTACTTGGTCTGCGGGTTATTCTGATATGCTTCGCCCAAAACCTATGTCTGTAGCGTATGAGGAGAGGGGGGCATAAAGTTTGGGTTTCAAAGCATCTTATCAAGGTCTATGTGTCTGAAAGAAATTTTATTGGAGTTGTGCAAGGAGAATGGGATCAAGATGAAGGAAAGCAGGCGTCGGAAGACGGTGACATTGGCAAGTACATTCCTTTCATGTATTCTTTCTCAAGTTAGCCAGATGCTCAGAATATTTCTCACAACGAAATCCAAAAACCGTGGTTTAATAAATTTATTAATTTTCCAGTTCGACTAAATAAAAAAACTCTTATTATACACTTAAGTCCAGCCTAGCTATATTATAAATTAAATTAAATAAAATATAAATTCATTTATTAGTACACTTATGTTATAATTCAAGTTGGTTTTTATAATATATTAGCTATTAGCAGTTATAATTACTAACTGGTCTATGCTATAAGTATATTCAAATATATATATATATTCCAACTCAAATATATATATATATAACGTAACCCATAAGCGAGCGAGCCACACAAGCGAGCGAGCCACTTTTATTCAAATTTACCTCTTCTTCTAATTTCTTAATTTTAATTTTCCTAACCTCTAAAAATGCAAGCTTCTTCGTACGAGGCAAATATTATTCTAGCAAACCAAGCTCTCGATAATGATCCAAAGCTAAGCATTAGAGCTGCAGCTAAGCTCTATAATATCCCGCGAACAACCCTTGGCCACCGACGCACTGGTCGTACAGCCCGACGCGATACCCGTCCTAATTCAATGAATCTTACGAAATCTGAAGAGGAGGCTATTGTCTCGTACGTAGTTGAGCTATCTACGCGTGCATTTCCTCCTAGGATACGTGGCGTTGAGGAAATGACTAACCAGCTGCTATGCGTACGAGACGCGCCCTCTGTTGGAGTTAATTTGGCCTCTAGCTTCATTAAGCGGCAACCAGAGCTTCGTACGCGCTGGGTTCGTAAATATGACTATCAGAGGGCTAAATGCGAAGATCCAAAGGTCATTGGACCTTGGTTTGCTCTCATACGGAACCTTAAGGCAAAATATGGCATCCTTGATGAGGACCTATATAACTTTGACGAGACCGGCTTTATGATGGGGGTTATCTTCCCTGGAATAGTAGTTACTACTTCAGATGGTCGTACGAAGGCTAAACTAGTTCAGCCTGGTAACCGGGAGTGGGCAACTGTGATCCAAGGGGTTAACGCAGCTGGCTGGGCGATCCCGCCTTTTATCATCCTACCTGCCCAATATCATCTTGAGAACTGGTATCGGGAATGCGACCTTCCGTACGAGTGGCGGCTTGCAACAACAGAGAATGGCTGGACTACTAATGAGGTTGGTCTTGATTGGATTAAACACTTTAACTCCTACTCAGCGCCTCGTACGAAGGGGGTATACCGGATGCTAATCCTTGATGGCCATGAGAGCCACCACTCAGCTGAATTTGAGACCTATTGTCAAGAGCAGAAGATTATTACAGTCTGTATGCCTACTCACTCCTCTCACCTTCTTCAACCGCTAGATGTTGGCTGCTTTGGACAGCTAAAGCAGTCGTACGGGCGAGAGATTGAGGGTCTAATGCGTATGCATATTACCCACATTAGCAAGCTTGAATTTCTCTCTGCCTTTTGTACGGCCTTCTTCCACTCCTTTACAGAGAAGAATATCCAGGCCGGCTTTATTGGATCTGGCCTAATGCCGTACGACCCAGAGAGGGTTCTTTCAAAGCTAGATATAGTATTACGAACACCAACACCACCAGAGACCCTCCCTGAGGTAAGGCAACCTTGGGTCTTAAAGACGCCACAGACTGCGTACGAGGCAAGCGCGCAGTCTGAGCATATTAAAACCCGAATCTCAGCCCATCAAAATAGCTCTCCAACATCAATGCTAGCTGCAGTTGACCAATTTACAAGAGGGGCAACTGCAATAATGCACCAGGTAGCTCTTTTACGTGCTGAGGTCCAAGACCTTCGTACGGCAAATGAGGTACTAAGCAAGCGCCGAAGAGCTAAAAAAAAGCCGCGTACGGCTTGGAGGATCCTTAACTATACAGGATGGAATAGATCTATTAGACCAGAAGGATGTGGATGAGCAGCTAAGGGGGGAAGACCGCCAAGGTGGTCGCCAGGGAGGGCAGGCTCGTACGAAGGCTCCGCGATGTAGCAATTGTGGTAAGCCAGGTCATAATATCCGGACCTGTAGAGAGGCTGGAGAGGAGTCGGATAAGTCAATTTCTAGTGCTATTATTGCAGATAATTAGGTGTTATTATTTTAGTTAAGGTTCTTGTACGAGGTATAGGTAGAGGTGGCTCGCTCGCTTATGGGTTACGTTATATATATTCCAACCGTTAGCTAGTAAATAATATCATAATAACGGTTGTACTATAATCACGGAAAGCCGGTTTCCATTCGACGCGCTGGTGGAGCAGATCCATCATCTGTTAGGTAGTAACTAAAGGGCCACTGCTAAGTTATTAACTTGAAGTGTTTTCTTAACGTCTCTATCGGTCATCTATAGCGAATACTGATAGACTGTTCTCGATTGTCTGGCAGGAAGGAAGTCGCTAAGTTGAAATCATCTCTATCCAGCTATCAGCAGAGACATTTTATAATACATACTGTACAGTACAGTAATAAGCAGGATTGTTCGAGACTCATCTAGTCCAAGATCTAGGCTCTTGCTTAGCAAGCCTTCTTTTCGGTGGCAACTCAGTTCTAAAACTAAGCTACTGTATTATGATGGAGGGTCACGCGAGCGAGTGGATGTTGCAATCGGGCTTTATTGTTTTGAGGATGTGATAAAGTAAAGTTGGGGAGGGTATTTTGATAGTTTTTCTTCTACTTTCTTGCTGAGGGACTGTTTCTATAAATATATATACTGGTCATTTTGACTACATAGTATGTAGATTAGAATGAAGTTTGGCCGTCTGGATGTACTGGACTATGGTATCAGGAGGCTTAAATTTGTAAATATATTCCAGATCCAAACTCATAATAAGTAACATAGAAACTTATGTAGTAGTTAGCATGCGCCTTGCTTTCGATGGCTGGATTTTCTTCATCATACTAGCACAAACTCCTCGGCCTCTTCTTCCAACCATGCCCTCCGCTTAGCTGACCCATTACAATTCATCTTGCCATCTAAATAGCATTGCGAGATAATCCGATACCTTTCCTCGCTGGCGTCGCTCCGCCTTAGAACGCAAGGCACTTTCGAACCATGTAGCAGATATATCAAATCACCCTCAAGGGCCGTCTTCGGCATAAGACCCATATCGTGTTTATCTGAAAGGAACAACCATTTCTGCTCGCACACCCGGATGATTTCATTTATGCTATATCCGAGGGGTTGCTCATGATCGAATGCCCCATCAGCAAGGAGAGTACGGACTATTGTGTTAGAGGATCCTAATAGCTCTTGTCTTTTATGGAGTATCACGGCACCCTGAACATCGATGTATTAGAAGAATCCTCCGACGGACTATTTGCGCAAAAACATATTTTTTCACCGCCATTTTCATAACTCAGTGGAAGAGGGCTGTGGGCACGGTTGACCCAAAGCGGAACGAACATACAACTGGCGATTGCTCGAATCCAGTGCCAGGCTGATTGCTCACGACCAATCGTATTACGTTTCTCGCCTTGGCCGACATCTTCACGCCCTTCCTTTGACGCATTGCCCGGTCACTAGGGTCGATTCATCACGAACTTCTGCAATTCCCAATATCTTCAAATTGTTTCCTTCCGACACTAGGTTCCATGCTTTAACGCCTCCAAGCTCCAAACTACAAAGCTTTTCTCTCTCGCAACACTATATTTACACCTCGACGATGGAAGAAAACAACACACTACAGATGTCGGCGTCCGTGGCCGAGGCATATCCCGAGCGGGGCCTGAAAGCCTACACGTCATCCTCGGTGCTTGGCTTGCCCTCTTTCCAGCTTCGGGACTACTTACTCGACGGGCATTTTCCAAGTGTACCTCTCCGAAAACCAACTGGCGGGCTACTCAGAAAGCGAGGTCGGTTCGATATTTAGCATCTTTGCGTTCCTCTTCTTCTTTGGCGGGTTGCAGGTCGGACCCATCTTCGACAGTTACGGTCTGAGATTACTGTTGCCCACCGGAGCCTTCGGCCTCGTTATTTCTCTGATATGTTCGAGTTTCTTCAAAACCTACTACCAGTTTCTCCTCGCTTTCAGCGTCCTCGGCGGCATCGCCTCCTCCATCTTATGGACCTCCAGCATCGCCACCCTAGGGCATTGGTTCCAGCTGAATCGCGGCCTCGCGACCGGCCTTGCAACAACGGCTGGCGGCTTCGGCGGCGCCACCTTCCCTATTCTCTTCAATCAGCTCACACCAGGACTTGGTTTCGCATGGTCGATCCGCTGCTTCGCCCTGCTCAGTGTTTTCTGCTTCCTCATTAGCTCGCTGCTTCTGAAGACACGTCTCCCGCGAAACAGACAAGCTCGTCTGATCCTTGACTGGGGCGGCGGCTTCAAGGATATACAATTCGTACTTACCATGTCCGCCATCTTCATCCTTGACTGGGCAGTTCTTGTCCCACCTGCGTACATCACGACGTACTCCTCCTCCCACGGCTTCAACAACATATCTCCTCACATTCTTGCCATACTCAACGCTGCCTCAATCTTCGGCCGCGGCATCCCCGGTCCAGTGGCCGATAGGCTTGGCCGTTTCAACATCATGATTCTCTGCTCGGCTGTATGTGCATTTTCGATTCTCGGGCTCTGGCTCAACGCTGGCTCCAGCGCTGTGGTAACCGTCGCATTCGCTGCACTCTACGGTTTCTTTAGTGGCTCGGCGTATAGCCTAACCCCCGTGTGTGTGGCACAGCTGTGCCGCACGGAAAATTATGCAAGTCGCTATGGGACTGCGTATGGGGTCGTTAGTCTGGCCACATTGGCCGGAATACCGATCTCGGGGAATATCCTGAGTACAGGGAATGGCGAGAACTACCAGGCACTGATACTGTTCTGTGGTGCAGCATATGCTGGAAGTACAGGGTTGTTTATTGTTGCAAGAGGAGTCAGTAAGTGGTTGGAGTATTCGGACGAAGTTCTAAAGCTGAGGCTTCGTTATCTTCGATTCGGGTTATTCAGATCTGCTAATATGGGTAAAGCGGAAGGAATAGAGTGAAAGCGTGAAATTGGCACACTGAAGGAGCTTCGAGCCATCGAAGCCAGCATCTGGGCTAAGATCTTCAGCTTCGAAGGTCTCGGAGGCCATCTCAGCCTCCTGCGCAAAAGATCTGATGACGAGACGCTCACGGTCGACTGCCTACAAACGCGATACTTCAGCCCAAACGATGAGTATATGCAAAAGAGCTTAGCGCTACCCACAGTATCTCAGTTCGTAAAGGAAGAAGCTGCCAGTATATATGGTGACGGGACTAAAGGTTGCGTTTGGGGCGAAACTGGCCAAGGCTAATGCGAAAAATACGAAGGTCGATGGCAAGTTGGATATGATAGATCCCCAAAGGGGGGGCATCTGGGGGTGCTAGTGTAGGTTATACGAGTGAGGATGCCGCTGCTGTCGGTTTTGACGCCTCCACGCCTTTCATTTTGGGTATACGCGTACGGAAGATTTGGTGGGATAATGGCATCAGGTGGTCTCTTACCTCCATGCGGTTCTGCGCGGCAAACTCGGCACAAGAATCTCGTCAAGCGCAGAACCAACAAAGAAATAGATGTAAGATCGAAATCTTGAGCCTATAGATGAGGCTCGTAATGTAGATGTATTAGTAGGAATCCGCGGTTGTGGATCCCCCAGCAGTAGTTCTTGAAGCTCGCCAGCTCCCCCTTTCTGATCCTCAACATATCTCGTTGACTTCCTCATCTCTCGTTCCTGGAGTTCTGACCGCTCCCTCTTGTGTGTTTCTTTTAGAGCTCGCAATCTTGAAACTTCTTCTTTCTGAAGGCTAGCTCTTTTCCGGCGCAGTCTTTCCTGAAATTTTTTCATCTCTTCAATTTCCTTTCTATGTAGCGCCGATCCTCGTGGTTTCTTTCTGGAGTTTCTTCGTTCTATCGCTTGCCTCCCCTCGAAGCTTTGAATTTCCTGTCTCTGCATATTTCGCAGTGATTGCCGGTTCGATGCCTCTTGTTCCTGAAGCAGTTGTCTTTCCCTTGATTGTCTTTCTCGGAGTGCTTTCGCTTTGTTCTTATGATTAATTTAGCGCTCTAGGATTGATTCGGTAGAGGTAGAACTATAATCTGGCAAGATTCTTGTGTTGTGGGAAGTCCCAAGCAATAGTACCTTTGTCTGGGGCTTGACCTGCCTCCACTTCGTCACTGCTTTAGGGTTGCCAAATGCGGAGACCCATTCAGAACATTGGTCTTTTGGCTAGAGCTGGTATAGCATCCTAGAGGCTCCCGGTACTGTAGGATGTACAACATCGATCCTTCGAACAGCACGATATAAACTGGTCGAATTCTTGGCATATTTTCAAGTTGAGGTGCTCTTCTTTTTTCTTACGACTTGGAAAGTTCTCACGGCATCTGGGACAGTAGGTGTCGAATTTATTGTGCCGTCTTTGTATATGTTGTTTGGCATCTCTGATGCGCTTGAGCTTGAGCTTCAGTGGCACATCGATATCTTCAATCAAGTGTTTCCACAGCCTGCAGGACCTTTGCTTGCAAAATTAGCATTTCAAAAACTCTATAAACGGCAGGCTCGCCCAGAGGAGACCGACAACCTCGTCGTTCGCGATGAGTACCTTGGCTGGGTAATGGAAGGGAAATCTGCTATCACCAAAATGCTGATCCATAATAGCCAGATTGATTACTACGGTGTTACATTTGACCATCTTGTTTCTACCTCCGATAATAATCCGGAAGTATTACAGATTAATATTATTGAGATGGATAATGACGGAGGTGCATATGCGGAGGAGACGCTGCTGTTCAAGGTAAACCCGGCAGAATATACTGGTAAAATAGCCCTGGCGGTCCCTCGGTGTTGTCAAAAGAGGAAAGGGACTCAGGATCAAGAGAGGATTAACTCTGGGGTAGCATTTAGAGATACAGCAGCCGAGTCTAGCGAAGAAAAACAGACGGAAAGCCTCAAATAGCGAGTGTATCCTAGGTCAATGTACCCCCTTCTTTTCTATAGTATTATGTTACTTGGTGATATGTAGTGCTATATCTTGTGGAATTCCAAATTGACTGGCAGAGGATCTCATCTGCAAAACACAAGGCGGAACAAGAGCCATGAAGCCTAAAAGAAAGACTTAATCCGAAAAATATATACTTCAGTGAGTGCCAGTGTCAGGCTTCTAGATAGTAGAGCTTAATCCGCAGCTTACGACCGGAAGCCGGTTAGTCAAGAAACTTCTCCAGTAGCTATAGCTATTCCTAATCCGTAAGTTCCTCACTAGAACGCATCCATGGGCGCTTGCGTGTGGGTCGAGGCGCCGTCCAGTACGGGCCACAGTGGACAGGTCATTATCCATATCGCCGAGCCAAACTTCTTTGTAGGGATTCTAGGCAAAGGCCCAAATTTTCTTGCTTTATCTCAGTCTGACGGGAGATCAACCCGTCGCATGTCTTTCCCGCTTTGTGAGGGCTAACGCTGAGTCAGTGTTATGATATGGACGCGCGTGATATTGTTGGATAAGCCAAGGTTTTTGGGAAATTTAGGATAAACCTAGAGGATGTCCTTTTGCGCTAGCTATGTCAATGGAATGTAAAGCTGGCTTGTCTGGTCATAGGACGGTGGCATTGGAATGAGACCCTTAAATAATGACGGTGTGCGGGAACTTAAGCATCCTACCATCAGGGACGTTATATGTTATTTCTCGCATTATCTGAGGTGTTCTGGTGTTAGCTAAGCTTGGACAAGCAAGAGACGATATCAGCAAGTAGAGGCGGTACCTTTTACGAGTTAAGTCAGGCGGCCATCGGGCTTGAGCGATTTCTCTCGCCCAACGCCAGCTGGCCGCACTGAGGCTGATTGCAGAGAAGCGTTCAGATATTTTGATATTTATTTTCGAACGAGGGACCAATCGGCTTTGCAGTGTTTCCAGTCAAAAGGATGACCAACACGAGAGCATTGAACCCGTGGAAGAGAGGAATGCATACGTAACGACTCAAATATTATAGCTTCTCTTTAGTCTATAATATGGTACAATGGTTATTTAATCATCCATTTCGGGGGCGCGCACGGGGGCGTTTTGTAGAGTCCTTGTTGTTGCTCTTCTTTCCTCCATGACGCTTTGTAACCTCTTTGGAAACTCCAGCTTCCTGTGCCAACCGAGCGGTCTGGCTCCCGGTTCTCTTGCTACCTTTCTGTCGACGTATCTTTGACTTCTTCCACTCCTCGACCAACTCACTCATATTCCCACAATCCTCCTCCGGCACGGCGGTTAGTTCCCACTCTAATGTATAGTGTAGCTTCTCGTTGATCAACTCTTCGCCTATAATTTTAATAGCTTCCCATTCGTCCACGGATATTTCATCCACTACCGGAGGGGTGGGAGGATCCTCGGCGGCCGGACTTGTGCTGGCACTCTTATTCCTTGCCTCTGCATCGCTGTTCTCGAAACTAGCCATCTCAGCACTCATCTAAGTAGCAGGAGCCAGGCATAGTGCCTCAATAGAAGAGTCTATTGAGAAATCGGCAGTTTCGTCATATATAGGAGCGGGATCCGACTCGACTTGTGCATGCAACAGCTCTTCGGCAGCAGGGGGCTCGTTATCATGTGCATCTTTCGTCTGATACATTAAACCAGATCAATTGTATTGTCTTTTAACCAGTTTGGACAATTGATAGGAGTCGAGGATATGGCACCAACATGGAACAGTGGATGTTAAGAACATGATTAGTAGAGTCGATTCGAATTATCGAATTAGCCTAAAAAGACAACTATACAATCAATCGTCTCACGCGAAAGCGTCTCATGCCAAAACGTCTCATGCCAAAATGTCTTATGTTAAAATACCCCATGCTAAAAAGTTGCATAATAAATAAAAATTGCCACATTATATTACTTAAAATTTAAGACTTTCTGTTACTTGGGGCCTCCGGAAAACGCGACTTTGAATTATACATCGATGGACCCGGTACAGCGAGACTATTAAGCGAATGCTGCTACCACTTGTGCGTCAACCTTGCATTACGGTTCCTGTTCTTCCATCTCCGATTCAGCAGCTAAATTTATCATAGGTTCCGTTGGGTCTCGTGCCAATTTGACACATTGGAGCAATGTTTAGACCCACCTTCTGTGCGAAGAGAACTACAAAACCTGCCAAAGACGCTGGATGCGACATATGCACAAATTTTGCGACGGATACATCCACATCAACTAAGCATGGCGAAGCGCCTTCTGCAATTTCTGACTTACAGTGAACGGCCTCTGAAGCTTGAGGAAGCTGTTGATCTTATCGTTGTTGATCCGTCAAGTCAGCCCGCATTTACGCCAGAAAATCGAATGCCAATTCCCGAGGAAATCATCCAATACTGCTCCAGCTTAGTGGTTCTCGCACAGAAAAGTGTGCAATCTTACCAATTTAATACTGACACAGTGGAACAAGTAACCGAAATACAACTTGCTCACTTTTCAGTAAAGGAATATCTCTTATCAGACCGACTAGAACCAAATGTGGCTAAAGAACTTGATAGAATTTCTGCAAAGGCTAGCATTGTTAACGTTTGCCTCTCCTATCTGCTTACTATATATCAGTTACGCTCGCCACAGGAAACAAGGAAACAATATTATCTGGCAGAGTTCTCTGCGCGATATTGGATGGAGCATGCGAAGGACGTCGAATCATCTTATAAAGCCATTATACAGTCGGTTCAGAGGTATTTTTTATGCCCAAATGCCTTCCAATTTGGATGTCAGCTCTATCGTCCGGATGAGTTCTATCGTCTGGGTGAGTTCTATGATTCGGATGAGTTCGATGATTTGGACGAGCTCGTTGATCCGGATGAGCTTGAGGGGGGTGGGAATCAAGTTCTTTATCATGCATCCCTTTGGGGTTTACTTTATTCTTGCACTTTTCTACTTCAGAAGGGCACTGATATCAATGCACAGGGTGGATTGTATGGCAATGCTCTTCAGGCTGCTTCAGTGGAAGGGCATCTAGAGATCGCCTAGATGCTCATTCCGAACGATGCCGATATCAATGCCCAAGGTGGATATCATGGCAATGCTCTTCAGGCTGCTTCAGTTAAAGAGCATCTACAGATCGCCCAGATGCTTATTCAGAGGGGTGCTGCTGTCAATGCCCGAAGTCGACTTTATGGCAATGCTCTTCACGCTGCTTCAGAAGGAGGGCATCTGGAGATCACTCAGATGCTTATTCAGAATGGCGCTGATATCAATGCCCCAGGTGGATTTTATGGCAATGCTCTTCATGCTGCATCAGCAACAGGTCATCAAGATATCGCTGAGATGCTTATTCAGAAGGGCGCTGACATCAATTCCTTTCAGGCTGCTTCAGTGCCAGAAGATCTATTGTTCACTGAGATGCCTCTTCAAAATGGCGCTAAACGAAAGCGAAGTCTATCGGATCAATGAATAGATATTAAATCTGCATGTTAGCGTTCTGGCAGTCCGGGATCACAGGTAAACCGGTATTATTGTTGTCTGTTAAATCTAGAAATACAGGGGTCTCCGAGGTTCTCTCAATACCCGAGGGTATCCCTTGATCGTCTGCACAGGCTTGTAGCCTGGTATGAGGATTTTTCTTGCCTAGCGACTTCCTCCGCTATCGCGATATGAAGGCTGATCTATTGAGGGCACAGCAACCTCGATGTGTAAGATAATCTTGGGTCCACGATTTGAGTCCCCTCTTCTCTATAACCGCCGCCATCAGGAGCAATTAATAGTTATATGACATGAACTATGTAGGCCACGGCTTTCCGGAGATTCTTTCCTGCCTCTCTGTATCTTTCCAGTCCATTCAGTAACAGTCCGAAATCCCATAATCTAGTAGCTTCATCTAGATAATCTTGGCACTTGCACTCTGGACACCTGGACTTCTCCCAACTCCCTATGAGGCGTTCATAGTATACTTCATCCCCTTGGCCAGAGCACTTACACTAACACATCCACAGCCTTCGAACATGTCAAAGAACCAGATCTCAGTACCTTCTCTCGAAGGTGGGAATATTACCTAGCCTAGTATAACAAGGCCTAGAATCTGTACGACTATAAGTATATAGGTCGGGCAAAGGCAGTCCCAATCGGACAGACTGATCAAGCTGATCAGGCCGATGAACCTAAAACTAAGTGGTTCGAAACCCTCGGACGAAGGGAGCAGCTAACACAGCTGAATAATCTCTCCGCCGAGCAGATCTTAGCTATATTTAACTTTGGCCAAGATACTCTTTGTCATACGCAGGAAGAGCTCGATGGATACAATCGGAAAGAGCGACATTATCACAGGCTGGGTCTAACGTGATCGAGTCAGAGCTCAGAATGCGGTGCCTTGCCTGCTGCAGGTAACACACCATCGTACTCCGCTTAGGGCATCTAGCTATGCCTAGAACCGCCGTGCAATCACGGTCAAGGCAGATTTGACATCCTTGGCGATCCAAAAGAATTCATAGTACGTAAAAGTTCGATAGCCTGCATGAGCTGACGACAGCATAATCTTCGCTTAGAGATGACGACGATGATAGTCCGCCTCCATGAAACTCATGCCGTACCATCCTCGCCCTTGCGCCATCTTCCCAACGCATACACCTTCCAACTCGGGCAAAGGAGTTGGGATGATGGAGAATCATTGACGGTGTGGCTGCCCCTTGATCAAGGAAACCAGACACAAGGTGGAGACCGAAACAGACTGTTGGCTAAATCTGGATGAACCAATAACACCTCATTTCCTTACAGCTGGTTCAATCCCTGTCCAAGCTCTCCCATCCCATGTCGAGAGCCAATGACTCTCTCACTAGTAGATCCGCTCAAGAGGCAACCCTTTGACTCTGGTGGGACATAGATGAGACGGCAAATGCGCCGCGCCACTCGACCACTCAATGTGTAATATCAGCTAGTGTCAGCTGCCTAAAGATCGTCGCACCATCTTCAGTTATCACTTTCAAGACGTTGGCCTAGCCATGTAGTAAGATGATGTCGGACACTCAGTAGAGTCGTCGCCTTGTAATTATAGAACTAGGATAAACAAGACCTCTATTACAGTGTCAAAAATGGCAAATAAACAATGAGTGCGGAAGATAGAGACGGTTTGCGGGTTGGATGGCTGATAAATGTGAACATGTTGTTGGGGTTGTGGTTGGGCCAAGGGTGAAGTGACGTGATAGCGAGGCTAGAAAATGGGAGGAAAAAAGAAAGGCGACGTAAAAGCGGCAAGTGATGACAAGGCCGAAGATTTCCCGACGAGGCATTGGCCCAAATTGGCAGGCTGGACCGGCCGTTTCTAGCCGTGCCATCTTTAAGAAGGAAGGTTGTAAACCGAGCTGCAGGGCAGTACTGTCAATAACAGAACGCAGCTAGACTCAATTAATAATAAAACAAACCAAAGAGTATTTTGTAGTTCCCATCTGTTCAAGTTTCTCGTCTTTTCTTCTAATCTTAATCTAGAATTTAATATCTCTTGATAAATATAAATATCTAATCATGTTTACTCCTCTTCTGTCTTGTACTATCTTTATAATTCTGGCGCCTTTTATTATTCTTAAAGACCTCAATGTTTCCTTTAATCCCTAGAAACTCTCGCCAAAAATCATTGATCAACTTCTCACCTAATTTTGATTCATATAACCACATTGGAGGCCAGGAAACCCCATACCGTAACTCTCCATCAACATATTCTCGCCCTACAAACCCTTCCTTATCAATAGGATAGATTGATTCCTTTTCAGGGTCTCTAGGCTCAACAGACCTAGTTGTTCCTAGCCGCTTAGATGGACCATAGTCGGCATTGAATTTCTGTATAAGCTCTTCACAGTTTAGCAGCTTATGATCTGGTTCAAATGTCGTCTCAAAAGGAGTTAAAAACTCCCACTCCTCTCCAAGACGCCTGGCACCCAATAGGCCTTGCTTCTCATCAACAGCCCATTCAATATCTTTAGAGACAATAGCGGCAGGATCATTGAACTCTTCTAGCTCCTTTGAATTAGGATTTGCTGATATTTCAGAATCTTTCTCCACCTCAATGTCCTTGGAATAGTCGGGCTCATCGGAATTGGTGCTAATATTGTCTTCGTTGTTGGAATCCTCTAGCCCATCCGAATTGGTGCCTGTATCATTATGGTCATCAAAATCTTCTGGCTCATCTGAATTGACATTGGTTGGTATCTCAGTTGCTGCAGGGAGTAGATCATGATGAGTTGAACTGATGGTAGCTTGGACCGTAATTCCAGGGTGTTTTGATGGATCGTTATCCCTGGAAATTTCTGCTCTCGGTGTGATCTTTGGATCCTTATCGAGAAGTTGGTCTAACTGTTGATCGAGAGTAGGTTGAATCACTTTGCCTTGTGCAACTGTATTCTGTGTGGTAAAGCGGCCATTAATGAACACATTTCGAGGGAGCTTGGTCGAGCTTTGGGTACAGGAAATACCTCAGTGTGTGCGGCTGGCTCTTGACTGTTCTTCCAGTCGGAATTCTCTCTCGGACTAGGCTTATTTGAGCTTGCTCTATTACCTAGTTGGTAGGTTACAAGGCCATTAGAATCTTTGGCGTTCGGTCTTCTAGTTGTAGGCTGAGGTACTCGAATTGGCTCATTTATTGATCCAAACGTCCTGGATGTAGGGCTATAACTTTTAAATATTAAAGCCATAGCCGAGAGACTTAGGATAACCTTGAAGAGGAGATATACAATAAGAATAAATGAAAGATGATTTCTCGGGCTGCAAGAAACAGAGAGCGTGAGCCTGGGAAAGTGCCTTTTATATTCCTACAGCATAGGGCGCTCAGCCAGCTAGAGTCCTTCCTATTGTGGAATTACTCGTTTAGTAAACCAACAGGGTTCAATCGAGCTTTAGAGAAAGAGAGCGTGCACTTGGCCCTTCCTGTTTAGTTATTGCCCTTTTCGGGAACCACATGAGTTACCGAATAGAGCACTCCGGCTAAGGAAACTAAGGTAGTGCCCTAGCCTGAATACTAGTCTCCAGGCGATACCAGGAATTCCTCAACCCTTTCCATCGCATCCTCTAACGTCACAGCCCCTGAATCACTCGTACACCAATCTCCCTGATGAACATATCCCGCCCGCATCCCCTGGCGCCGTAATCTCCTGGGGGGCTGCGGCTCAAGGCTCACCAACAAATGTAACTCTGTTTCTGACATGGCTTGTTATCTGCCTACGAGGCGGCTGAGCAAGTTCCATCGTGATCTGCATCTGGTGAAATCTCATCCTGCTGGAGCCACTTAAGGCACGACCCGGAGGTGACAAGATGAGGGATCGGTGGTACTTCTGGACAACACTCCATTTCTGTCGTGCGTAAGGGGTGGCTATATCAGAAGGTTAACGTTAACGCTGCTTAGCAATTGGCGAATCCCCCCCCTGGTGCTCGTTCCCTCATCAATGATGAAGTATGTCCCCAACTTGGCTATTCCGAGGAGCACGGTGAGCAGTACGTTTCATGCCAATTGTTTCTATCTAGTGATGACTCAATCCAATGCGGCGCAGATTGTGCCATGTAGAGAAAGAAACGACGATATGGTCAACCTAAAGGCATAATAGTAGACGAGGAGGAATTTTCGTGACTCCGGCAAGCGAGGCCTCTGGGCTTCCTGTGTGATGAGCCACGGCGCAGATATGGCGAGATAGCAGACCAGCTGTACTTCTGAATCAGGGCACACCTGGACCGATATCCCGACCAACACTGCACCGACTGTACAGAAGCTAAGATCCATGTTGACGTCCATGCTCATGCTCGGTGACTGGGCCCAATGTGAAAAGGGATAAGTCCATTCTGTAATGATGGAGTGATGGTGACTCGGAATACGCCGTTGGTGCCTAAGTGAGGCGTTTCTGCGCGAGTTCTAGTATAGACCCTGACCATCGCCTCGATAAGATTTCCTTGTTCATCGTGATTGCATTAATTCTCCCCCACCCTCGAATAAGCGTGGTTGTCGGCAAGGCTGTTTCTGCCTGGAGTGGGTATGGAGGCCTCTCAACTCGTTGCTGGATGTCTGGCAAGCGAATGATTGTGCCCCTTACCACTTGATTCCCGTCCATTCATGGCGTTTCATCTCGACAACTGTGCCTTGGGGGAATGGAACACCTTTCATCGCTACCGTCTGGTGACCACATAGAAGCTAGGATGTATCTTTGCCATCTATACTCGGCGGTGGCTTGGCGCAATATAATGTGACTGGGGATAACTCCATGTTGGCTAAATGTGTCGATGACCCAGAAAAGCTGAAGGAGAGGCAGCGGATAGGGATCTAGGACACCTAACCAATTCCAGTAACGGTAGCCGATGGAGAGATGTGGCTTGTAACCGCAAATCTCATGGTTGTACGTGGCCTCCGTCTGCCCGAGGACCAAGCTAGGTCCTATCAGCGGCGCGAGGTTGGAACGGAGAACCCTGGCCCTTTCGAGGCCATCAGAAACATATCCCAGAGCTGACGGGATGAAGGATCAGTGGCACGTCCGGAGAAGTTTCATGCCGGCGGTGGCTATATCGGGGAAGAGTACAGGCAGCTCAGCAATAGGCCAACACTCTCCTCTCATTTCCTACTCGATCAACCCCCCTTTTATTTCGATGAGAAATCACGGCGCAGTGCAGCGGTAATTAAGGGTCAGCACACAGCCCGGCCAACATCTTGGCGATGAAGACGTAGCCACTCAGTTGACCATCCGTCGGTCACAAAGTATGCATCCTCGGCGGTAACTCGGTCCTATGCCAATGTAGGCAAGGTCATCCTGCAACTATGGCATGTTGTCCGCTCGGAATACCACATCGCAGCCTGCTTGAGGCGTTTTCACGCGATTTCAGGCACCAATTACCGCCTCATCTCACATGACTATGCCGTATTGTCATCCTCCTGATATGTACGCGTCATTGGTGAGGCTAGTTTCTGCCTAAGTGGACATGGAGACTTCTCAGGTTATTGCTGGATGTCCGGGAGCGATTGACGTTCGTCCATCACCGCTGATTTGACCGCTGCTGTGCCTTTGACGGAATATGTTACATTCCTCTTAGTGATGAGGCGGCGACAAGGATTGGTGGCACTTTTGGGTCAAGATGGCCAGGTCAAGATCCTGACGGAGTAGCCGAGTAAACGCCCCTGACCAAGAAATGACGAGACATACCACCATGAGGCCCTGTGTAAAACCCTGTGTGGGGGGATGATGCTTCCATATCTGTAGGGAAGTAGAAAACGGTGACTATTAGGGTAACCATCAATAACGGTAGTAGTCAATAAGGTCCTAATTCTGGGCGCTCATAGTAGAAAAACTAATGCCCAAAACTGGGACGCCTAGAGAAAAGTGGCAGAAAATCCGGTGACCAAAACTTGGACATCTGGAGGAAATGTGGTTGAATTTATGTCCGGCAGAAAAAGATACGTACTTTCCGCGCCCTGAAAGTGGATGAATTTATGTCCGGCAGAAAAAGATACGTACTTTTGGGGCAGTCAGGCATCCATGGCTACGACATGGGTGGGTCACAATTTCCATTAGAGGAAACCACCATAGATGTCGGGCCTTCCACATGGAACGAAATAACTATTACTATTATTACTACTACTATTATCTTTATCTATAGTATTCTTAATATATAGAGCAGGCAGGTTATTAATAATAGGGTACTACTACTAGGCTGGAGGAACTATAATAACTATAATATCTTCTTTATTATTATATAGTAATTAAGATAAGATAATTAGCTGAATAAGAGTTATTAATATATAATAGTTAGATAATTTATACTAGATAGAATCTAGAGTAGATTAGGATTAAACTAATTAGAGTATTATTCTAAGTAGTATAATTAGATTATCTTAGGCTATATAATATAAATTACTATTAATATATAAGTATTATAGAGCTAGTAATAATAGATATATAGATAATTATATTAATAATTATCTAAGAGAGTATTCTATTTAATAAAATAAATATATATATATACTAGGGAATTATTAATACTTAGTAATAATCTATTATCCTAGATTATTAGGATTATTATAAGATCCTAATAATCTATTAGTAATTAGTAGGAAAAAGTAGGGTAATCTATATAACTCTAATATATAATAATACAATTCGTAACAAGTTGTTTGCTGCGAATATAACCCGGCAGTAGCCTATTGCGCGCGATAGTAAGCAGGGTACAGCGTCTTATCTGATTTTCTTTAATTGCAGGTCCAGCTGTCTGACTAACGGAGCGTTGCAGAGGCTATATAAATATAGACTATCGGCTGCGCTCTCTCTCTGCAGTTAATATATTTGTTGGTAGCTAAGTGGATAAAGCCTTAGCCTTGAGAGGGGACTTAGCTGTAATATTATAAGTATATTTGCTATGAGAATTACTAAATAGACAGTAACGAGTGTTAGAGGGAGGAAAGTACCTGGGCGTAGTGTAGCACTTGTCCTATATCCTCTACCTGCAGGTCTAGCTGTCTGGCCAACAGAGCGTTAAAAGCTCAAATGTGGGTCGATGGCTCGATATCTGCAGTCAGCATGTTTGTTGGTAGCCAAGTGGAGACAGTCCAGTATAAGTCAACCAACCGTCATACTTCTACCTATTTTTTAGTATAGTAGGGGGGAGGTATCTAACCTAATGGGGTTTGGTTTAGGAGTGCGCGCTGAAAATTCTAGGGGTGCGCATTTGGAGTTCAAGTACAATGCCCCATTTCTGTGCATAACAGAGATAGAACTTTCGGGATGTTATTTTTGGAGTGCATGAAGGAATTCGCATCAGCCGCGAGAAGACGGGGACGAAAGAAGGAGGGCGGTTGAGGCTGGATATGATAAAGGCTCAAGATCTTCCCCCCTACTATGAAGGAAGTTGTAGATATTCTTTTCATTCCGGTTCTCGCCTCGACGTGAGGCACTTCCTTTTTTTTTCTTTTTTTCCTTTTTTTCTTTTCTTTTTTTCGATACTGTCCTTGACTTGTCCGCTTTCAGACAGGACTGATTCTCCTCGCAATGCGTCTGCATAATGTTCTTTCTACCATTATCGGCTGGGCCGTAATGGCAGAAGCCGGATAGGGGGTGACAGGTGAGACCTCAATTGCACTCCCCGACATCAGACCAAAGACTCAAGTTTCAACAAAAACAGCAGCGTCTAGCCATCCAAAGGGCGTCTTAGGGAAGCGCCTTGAGATTCTGCCAGAGAGGGCTCATCCAGGGACAGGCCTCGCCGGTGAGTAGCATTCAAGTCCGTTGAAGATCTGACTGACATGGACCGAAAAGAGAATTGTACCGGCGATCCAAGAACAAGCGACCTGGAGTCCTGTCGACTAGATGTGGGTAGTCGTGTGCCATCCATGGAAGGTCAGAAAGCTAATTGTGAACTACGTATTCAACAGCGTGCTATTCATCTTGACAAGAGGAAAGCTACTCCGAAGAAGCCAGCCCCGAAGGCTGCTCCCAAGCCTGCCCCGAAACCTGCCCCGAAACCTGCTCCGAAGAAAGCAGCTCCGAAACCTGCTCCCAAAAAGGCTGCCCCCAAGCCAGCTCCGAAGAAAGCGGCCCCGAAACCTGCCCTGCAGAAGGCTGCCCCTAAGCCTCCTCCTCCGAAGACTGCCCCCAAGGCTGCTCCGAAAAAAACGGCATCTAAACCTGTCCCGAAGAAAGCAACCCCCAAATCCGTCCCGAAGAAGGCGGCGCCCAAGCCTGCTCTAAAAAAGGCTGGTCCCAAGCTATCTCCGAAGAAGGCTTCCTTTAAGAAAGCCACCCCGAAGCCTCCTACAAAAAGTGCCTTGAAGAAGGCTGCTGGAAAGCCGGCCTCAAAGGGGCATTTCCCGGCCAAGAAGACCGGTCCAAAGTCTGGACCCAAGCCTGGGCCGAGGAGACCTGCTGCAAAGGCTGAGCCTAAGAAGGCAGTACCAAAGAAGGTAGCACCAAAGCAAGGTGCAGCAAGGAAGTCTCCTCCGAAAGATGCACGCAAGAAGGTACTGCTAAAGCAAACAGTACCGAAAAAGGGGGTAGCAAATAAAGTATTGGTAAAGATAACCCTGAAGAAGACAGTACCGAAGACTGTCTCTAAAGGGCCGGGATAAAAAAAAGGCGACACCCAAGAAAGTTACGGCCATCAAGAAGCCTTCCGCTAATAAGAAGCCTTCCGCTAATAGGAAGACTTTAAGCCACAAGAAGGCTGCGGGCAATAAAAAAGCTATTGACAACAAGAAGGCTGCGGGCAATAAGAAGGCAGCAGGGAAGATTGCCAACAACAGAAAGTCTCCCGGTAACCGGAAGGCTGCCAGCAATAATAAAGATGTAGGAAACAGGAAGCTTGCAGGAAATAAGAAGCCTGCAGGAAAGAAGCTTGCTGGTATCAAGAAGGCTCCTGGCACCCAGACCCCTGCGAGCCGAAAGAAGGCTGCTCCTGGCAACAAGAATGCTGGGGGCAAGGGCCAAGCAAACCGGAAGGCTACCAGTAGCAAGAAGAAGATAGGTGAGAGTAAGAATCCCGCCAATAGGAAGAACAAAGCTGCAGGCAGCAGGAAGGTTACTGGCAGCAAACAGAAGGCTGGCCGAAAGAATAAGGCTACCACTGGCAGCAGGAAAGCTGCTGGTAATAAGAAGGCTGCTAGCAACAAGAAGGATGCTGGCAAAAAGAACATTACCAACAGCAAGAAGCATCGCGGATACAAGAAGACTCACCGAACCCAAAAGGCTCTTAATAATAAGAAGCCTCTCGGCAGACAGACTTCCGGTAATAAGAAAGCTCTTGGAAGCAAGAGCCCTACTGGCAATAGGAAAAATTCCGAAGACAAGAAGATCACGAAAGCCCCGGGCGATAAGAAATCAGCGCCAGGGCTCTGCACTATCGGAAAACTAGGAAAGCGGTTAGACTGTGATGGTGCTGGAAGCAGCTAATAAACAGGGGGACAGCAAGCTCCATCCTGGAAGTTGGACAAGGTTCGTCTTGATCCTAACAGGAACAATAATTTGAGATACTCAGCTGCGGAGGAAAAGAAAGATAAAGAAGACAGGGAGAAAAGGGAGAAGGAAGGAAAAAGCAACAGGGAGAAACCAAAGATTGAAGGAAAAATTAAGAAGGATGGTGCTAATTCGGCGTACTTCGCGGTTTCGCCTAGTTTGGAGGGACCTCCGCAAGATAGCTATCTGATCAAGGTTGGAGACGGCAATAACATCAGAGTGACGGAAGAAATGAAAACGCTAAATCCCGATGTCACTGGTATTACGTTAAGCGGCCAACCTGTCGAGATAGATGGAGTTAGGCCGGGCAAAGCTCAACAACGCTTAATGCACAGCACGTTCATCGGTGGCAAGGCGAGATCGGGATAACGTAAGTTGGCTTTCCCACGAATGATATGCTTCATACTGACAAAAGAATCTAAAAGCGGGTGCAAGCGAATGGTACAGAATTAGGCCCAGTGAAGACTCTACGAAGGAGGATCTGCACAAGACTCTGTACGGGCAGCTCCGAACATATTGATACTACTCCCCTTCCCAGAACCTTGGGCTGACTCGGATCGCAGAATTGAGATGAGGAAGGGTTTTCCGAACTCAAAGGTGGGAGAGACTACTTCTCCTTTCCACCAGACAATGGTTGATAATAAAGACAATTTCAATCTCGAGCAAATCGACTCGAGGAAGACAATGAGGATTGATGATCCATCGAGCAGCAGTGGCGGTGACAGTGGCGGTGATGGTGGCGGTGATGGTGGCAGTGGCAGCGACGGCGGCTAATACTTCCTCCGCATCGCTCAAACAAATGATTGAGTAGGTCTGTGTAAGGTTGGCCATGTGAATGTCTTTGGATAAAGACACAGAACACGCTACGTAGTATATTAATAGTATTATTATCTAACTCGTCTATATCTTCCTCGACCGTTCTTCAAAGCCTTGACCGTTTTTTATACGTTATGCGTTGTCTACCTCTGTGAAAGTTGGGATCCTATGAGTGGTCGTCAATCTTTAGGTGCAGATGAAGTAAGAGACTCCTAAGTCCTTGACTTATGCCCTGACCTTATGGCTGCTAATTTTGACATGCCAATCTGTGAGCTGGTATAATTTCAATGCTATTTGTTGGAGCCGAGGTATCGTGTAACGCGGTGCGCTTAGTAAGAATCGAGGTCGGTTTGCCACAAATGCGCCTACTTTCCCAGATTAGAAGAGTATTAAGCTCAAAGGAGAAAGCGTATACCAAATTGTATAATTATTCCCTCCGTAAGCACCGGAGATGCATAACTTAGATGAATACAACTATATAATTCTGCTTATCCAATGTGTGAAATCCAACAGTTATCAATACAATTGCTACCGCGTCATTAAAACTAGTTCCTTAGTGCTCGCACATTAGCTGTGACTCGCATAGACCAGACAACTTGATCGTTCTTACTAAAGAACAACAGATAATCGCCACTTACCCTAGACCTCCGGTCCAGTGTAAGCTAAATCGTCACAAAGTAGTGAAAAAAGCCTTTAAAAAAGCGATAGTTTAGTTAGATTAGAGGTAGATTATAAGATAGATTGGCATGGTAAAAAATACACTTATTTTAGCTGAATGCTGTTTGGCGTGCTAATTTTAGTACTTCTAAGATTAGGGCCTTAGTAGGCTAATCTCATCCTACCGTGGCCTTTGTGTTAAAAAAGGGCACGGCTATCTGGCTCGAGTGTATTAATAACAGCGGACACAATAGACCGCATCTAACATTCTGGTCCTCATCTTGAAACTCTATCCATTATGAGTTCTCCTTCATACCTTACGAACCTCGCCCTAGAGATCCTGCAGCTTATTATCGAGCACACGCACGCCTCAGCCCACTGGCCCCTCGCGCAGACATGTAGGTTCATCCATCGCAACTCCAAGCCGATCCTTGAGCGCCATCGCGAGGCGCACCAAACGTATAGAATCACGTCTGATCTTGATCCATCGACTATCACTGGTCTCCTATGGAGCGTTTTCAGCCACGGCGTAGACTCGATCGAGGCATGGCACGTCAGGGAATTCGAGGTCTGGACCGACAGAGACGACCAGGACCCCCAAGGGAATAACTTCAAAGTCTGGGAGGTGGATGCAGAGAGCGGAGACTTGAACATCAAAGAGAAAATAATGCCGTGCGTCCTCTCTGCCGACGAGATGGATCACTTTTGCCACAAGATGATGAAGATTCCGGATTTCTACGACAAGAGCCCGGACTTTGCTGGCTGGGTCCGGGAATCGCTCGACGAGGGCCGCGATACCTTTACCAAGCCCTTGCTGCTTGCCTATCTGCCGCGCCTCCGGGCTCTCCGGTACGCCCAACGGAGCAACGAGACCAACAACCTCACGCTTTGGAAGCTGTGTGAATTCATCGACAAGTGCCAATCTGAAGGGGCCTGGCTCCCCGGCCTGGAATCACTCAGGGAGGTCTTCTTTACTATCGAGCTGTACCCAACGAGTGAAGGGGTCGAGGATCGTCCAGCTCTGTGCAGGAACACCGACTACTTCTGCGCTCTTCTGAACCTGCCAAACATGAAAGAGGTGTACTTCTCTCACATGGATGGGAGACGCCCGTCGAGGGAGATATCGGAGAGATTCCCCAAGGACATCGGCCCCTCGCTGGCCAACATATCAAACGTGCAGACAATCGTTCTCGATATGCTCCAATACGATCTGGATGATGCACTCGTCGATTTCATCGCTCTCGTCCCACGCGGCCTTGAGAACTTGGCCATCCGTCTTCACGCTAACAACAGGGTCAAACAACAAAACATCGACCGGCTGATCGCAGCGCTTGCTAAGCACCAGGGCTCGTCTTTGCGGCGGCTCTGCATCCACGAGGACGAAACGATTGATGGTCGATCGTACCTGAGCTGGAGGAAGCCGGAAGAACTGGCCAAGTTCAAGAAGCTCCGCGTGGCCAACGTGAGCTGGTGCGACGTAGAACGTGGCCTGGGACGGTACAAAGACACCGAATCGCGGTCCGAGCTTATGGACCGGCTCTTGAAGGTGTTTCGAGATGATCTCCCAGCGACGATGAGGATCGCAGCCATCGGCCGCGTCGGAGGAGCCAACGTCTTCATTCCTCAGAAAGAAAGGGAAGAGTATGACCATGCAGATTTTGCTTTCTTGGACGATGCCGTCGAGGCAATGATCAGATCAGACCGGTACAAGGACCTCAAGGCCGTTGATGTGGACTACATCCGGATGGAAGTGTACAGGATGACCGGCATTTTGCCTCTGTTCCCTCTCTCCATCAAGGCGGCCAGGGAGCGGGGGATTCACGACTGTATTGGGGAGTACGACGTATCTTACAGGATGAGCATGAATGGGGAGTTTATACCCTATCCAAGGAGGGACTGCATGGTGACGGGCGGGTTCGCGAGGGAGGACAGGCGGCGACTCTGCCGCACGAGAGACCCTCACAACTTCTCTATCGAAGGGGGAGAAGGATTCTTCAGGATTGAAGATCCCTCCTCGGATGATGAATAGAGAGGCTTGAGGGCTACTGTGGGATGAGACCTCGTATTCGCTGAAACCCCATCTTGGTGATTGAGTGTTCTTGCAGGGTAGAGAATCAGCATTGGTAAAATAAAATATTATTTTTAAATTAATTATTTATAAATAATTTATTTATAAAAATAAATAGTTTAATTATCTATAAATTAAATAATATAAAGTTTAACTCTTAGTTAGAATTATCTATTTATTATTAAATTTATTTATTAAGAAATTTAATTTATATATAATAGTTAAATAACTTATATTAAACTAGATCTAGAATAGATTAGATTTAAACTAATTAGAGTATTTAATATAGTTAGATTATCTTAGTACTATATAAATTACTATTAATATATAAATACTAAGAAGCTAGTTTTAATAATAATAATAATAATTATATTAATAACTATCTAAAGAAATATTCTAACTAATAAAATAAATATATATATATAATAAAATTATTATTTATCTATTATATAGCTATTACTCTATCTAAGTAATAGGTTATAGCTTATTAGTTATTATCCTCCAGTAGGATTAGTACTTATATATAATTTTATACAGTCTGACAGAGGCCTTTGTTTATAATACAGAGCTAGCGATATACAGCCGTACTGAAAGATACAAACAGCGCAGACCGGATCAAGGTGATATACAGAGATAAGAAGAAATAAGCCTTGTCAAGGAGGCGGCAGAGAAGATGGCGGTTTGAGGCGTGAGGCGCACCGCTGTCCCGGACGCGGAGGGCAATATACTGCCCGGAGCGATGGACGTATGTCGTGGTACTACGTGCCTCGAGACCGAGAACAACCAGGAGACGGGGGCAAGCCACGTCGCCAAGTTCTCCTGGGCATTATAGAAGCGGAAGTTGGAGGTGGAGCAGCTGAAGCTGGCAGAAGAGAGGGGCGTTAACGGGGTGGCGAGGGTTGTGGCGCATCGCCAGATCACTACGATTGCCCAGCTGCGCGAGGGCCTAGAGTTTCGGGAGCGTCACCGATTCCGGAACGAGGATGTCCGCCTTGAGGACTTGCTATCCGCCGCAGCACGCACAAACACGTCAGGCCACAAGCGGAAATCACCATCCGATCACTGACGTATCCGGGTCCAAGAGGCGGCGTTCCAATAGCCAGAAGTCAAAGCTGGTCCAGACGCTGAAAGGAGGCTTATTGGGCAGCACCAAGGCCAAGTCTAGTCTGTACAGCCGCGGCGAGGACCTGTGGGAGAATAGGATCTACTCCTGTCTGGTCGTTTCGCCAGCTGGCAGGGTGATCAGCGACTTCAAGACGATCAAGGAATTGCTAGAGGCGATGGGCGATGTGATCAAGGCTCATCGATCTCTGTACAAGACGGGCAACATTCTCCACCGCAACATATCGTCCAATAACATCATCATTATGAAGCCCGAGACGGCAGACGGCTTCAAGGGAATGCTCATCGGTTTCGACCTGGCGAAAGTGAGAGACAGCCCGAGTGGAGCACGGCACCAGACGGGTACGATGCAGACCTTCAGTGCTTTTGTTGGGCATTTATTCCGACGTGGCTGAGGCTTTTGTACATGTGCCCCTTCAACGTCCATGATTTCAAGTCTAACATACTACATAGGAAGAATTACGCCAAGACAGATAACACAACTTTCACGGCTAGATTCAATTGCACTCAACACTATTCCCATAGCACTCGCTCGGGTCGGCGTATACCTCTCTACGGTTGTCAATGCAAGTCGACGGGTGTGCCATGGATCGGGTCGCAGATTGACAGTGTCGACAGTTATGCCGCAGCTTATTTGGTCAATGAGGAGTAGAACTACACGTACATTAGAATAGCCAAATACTTCTCCTCCTTATGGACGTCACTTGTGCCCTGTCAACCTTGTATTCTCATTAGATACAACATCCGTACGGAGCTACCGCGCCTGTATAGGGCTACCTTAAGGCACACTGTTTCCCTTCAGGGGGTTGCAGTGCCAGTCCATAGGAGGATCCTCAGCTGTAATTTTACGGAGAGGCCAGCTGGCTGCGCTGCCGAATCACACCTAGGTAAGCACAGCACACCTGCAGCGCTGGACCATCCATCAGTCATCATAGAATCAGCCTCATAAAGAGTGCGTCCTCCTGAAAGGAGCCATATAACCAGTATAACTGATTACACACTCAGTGTGAAGTTGAAAGCGCAGTCGCTGACGACGGCACTAGCATCTACACCTAGGCTGTAATGCTAGATGAAAGCCAGATGTGATTATAGTGGAGAGACAAAAGTTTCGTGTAAACCCCTATTTTTACACCAAAACTCCCTATCTTTAACCTCTTATTATAAGCTATTTTTATATTATAAGAATTAAATAAAAATATTTTTATTATAGAATATAAGCTAAATTATACTCTTATAGCTTTAAAATTTCTTTAAAAAATTTATATAATTAATAAATAATTTATAAAGTTATTTAGTAGGCTTATACAGTATAACCCTGGCTCTAACCCTGAGATTACTATATAATTTTAATATTCGCACTGTATATTTTATACTGTATAACTTTAAACTATTTTAATAAATCTAGAAAAACTCTGAAAAATAAACTCAAAGTAATAATATACTTTTTAAAACTAAGATATATATAATATAATTTCTTTTGATTTTTAGCTATTTTTTTAGATATAAATAACTAGCTTTAAAAGGTTAGATTAACTATAGGGCACTATGTAATTATATAAAACTTCTATTATCTAATTATAGATATTAGCAAACCTATTAGGTACCTATATAGGTTTTACCTAATAGGTAATTTAGATATTTCTAAATAATCTATTTTCTATTTAAAATAGATATTAAATATAATAAAGTATCTAATTAATACTTAATTTTATATTTAGATAAATATAAATATCTAAATTATTATATTTCTATTTTAAAATAATTTATCTATATCTATATATAAGATAATTAATAATAAGATTTATATATATATATATTTTTAAAGATCTTTACTATATATAAAGAATATTCTAAGATCAGACTATATATAACTAGCTCTATATAATTTATTTTTAACTAAGTTTTAATTTATATCTAATCTTTAACTCTATTTTTTTTACTTTTTTATTTATATAAGCTAAGATAAGATAATAGTATCTCTAAAAACTCTAAAAAGAGCTTATTAAGTATATAACTTAGCTATAATTAACTATAATATCTCTCTAAGCTTATTATTACTAATTACTAGTAATCAGATCTCTCCTTATAATAATAATAGATATCTCTAATATTATTATCCCCTGTAGCTAAAGTCTAATAATTATAAGTAATTAGGTTCTTATATATATAATAGTTATTATTAATAATAACTATTAGAATCTCTTTTTAGATATTAATTATTTAAGTCTATAATCTATTATAAATTTATTTATAATAATAAAACTACTTTTTTTTATATAGACCTAGTAGTTATATCTACTAAAGCTATTACTATATCTATTAGCTAGCTAACTAGAAGATATATAGATCCTAACCTTCTATATACTTATAGAGAACTATATAAATATTTCTCTAGTACTTAATAATTATTATAATCTAATATACTATATATAGTATTAGTAGGTAATATACTAGCTTAAGTTAATCCAGACTAAAGTAGCTCTTTAAGTTAAATAAAAAGTCTATTTTAATTAGTATTAAATAGATAGAAGAGAGTAGAATTAAATTAAATTATTAAAAAGTTTATTAGAGTAAAAAGTTAAATTAAATAAGATTAATAAGATAGTATTTAGAATATAGTAGATTAATTAATCTAATACTACTATAGATTATTTAAAGAAGATTATAATAGCTAATTATAAAGTTACTATATATTAATAAAGACTAAATATAGTTTATATAGTAGATTTATATTTATATAATTATATTAATTAATTCTAATATTAATTAATAGATATTATTACTATATTTATTAATTAACTTTATAATTTTATAATTTAGAAGAAATATATTTTAATTATTAATTTCTTCTTAGTATCTATATATTTATCTCTTTAATATTATTTCTATTAAATTTAGATTTTATATTATTAGAATATAATTTATTAATATCTTACTATAGATTATTAAAATTAGAAATTTAAAAAAAATTAAATAACTAAATATAAATAAAATCTTAACTATTTAATATTCTTATAATTAGAGATTATAGATTTTCTTTTCTATTTTAAAAGAATATATAAATAAAGAATAGAGTTCTTAAGATTAAATATAATATTAGTTATTTTAATCTCTAGTTTAGAGTTAATAAACTCTTAGATTTTATAGTTATTAGAATTAAAAATTAAATAGTTAAAAACTTTTAAATCTAAGTAGTATTTATAGAGATTAAATTAAATAGAATAAGAATCTATAATTTAAATATTCTAATATTTATTTCTATTTTAAAATCTAACTCTTTAGAATTTAACTCTTTAGATTTTAATTTATTAGATAATATTTTTTCTAGAATTAAAAGCTTAAGAATATTTTTAATATTAAAAGATTTAGAATATTATAATATAGAATAAATTATTTTTAAATAATATATTAATTTTAAAATATTTAAATTAATATATTAAATTAATTCTATATATTAATATAGTAATATATACTTTATATTTTTTTAAATTTAATAGAAATAGATTAAAAGCTAAGAAAGTTTTTTATTAATTTATAAATATTAGAATATTTTAATTCTTTTAAAAAATAAATTTAAAATTATTAATTACTTTCTAAAGATTATTTTTCTAAATTAATTAGTTTATATAATTAAAATATAATAAGTATTAAAATATAAATATATATTTCTAAAAGAACTAAATATAAATCTTATAATTAGAGATCTATTTAGAAATAGTAAAATTCTAATAATATATAAATTAATAAGATAATAATAATAATATATAATAATTAGTATAATTTAATTAATATAATTAAGTTTATATTATTTTCTTTAAACTAATTATTTCTATAATTTTTTTTATAAGTTAATATTTATTAATTATTATTTTTTATTTTAAAAAATTAATTAATAATTAAAAGAAATCTTAAATTAAATAGTTTTTAATATATTTTAAAATAAATATATTTTTATATTTTTATTAGATATATACTTATATTTCTATAGAATCTATAGAAATATTATTCTAGATATAATAAAAACTAATCTAATAATAATTTTTCTATTCTTTTAATATAATTTATAAAAGAATATTAATTATATATATATATTTACTTTAAATAATTAATTAAATATATTTTTATAATTTTTATTATATATTAAATAGAGTCTATAATAGTTATTATTACTAGATTAATAATTAAGATTAGTTTTTAAATAATATAATCTTTATCTTTAAAAAACTATTTATATATTTAAAATAATAAATAGAAACTATAAGGGTTTTATTATTTATATTTATAATATTAATAATCTATAGAAAGAGATTTCTAATTCTAATAAAATAATTAATTTATTACTAATTTAAAGTATTTAATTATTAAATTTCTAGATAATTAGATTAATTTTTTAATTAGTAATTAATTACTTTTAAAATATTTTTTATTTTAATAAGTATAAAAGTAATTAAATTTTATTATATTAAATAATTTCTTCTTAATTAAAAAGCTTTTTTATTTAGAATTTTTAAATTTTCTTATAATATTAGATATAATTAGTATTTTATAAAGAAATTAAACTATTTAGAACTATAATTAAATCTATTAGTAAGATATTAGATCTTTTAAAATTAGTATTTTATTATATTTATTATTTAAAATTATAAAAGAGAAGTATATATATAGAGAGAAATATATATAAAGAATTAAATATTTTAAGAATTATTCTTTAAAATTATTATTATTTAAAAAAGAAAAAATATTATTAAATAGCTAAATATATATCTTTATTTTATTCTAATCTAGTTAAATTTTAAATAATCTAGAGATACTATATTTATACTTATTATTATTAAGATTATTTAGAGTATTTAGTTTTATAGAATTAAATAGATATTATATAGCTAAATTAAAAATATAATTAAAGTATTAAATCTAATAATAGAGAATTAATAGTTTTTTATTAAATTCCTAAAATATATTTTATATATTCTAAATATTAAGATATATATTATTATTAGTTATAATACTAATATATTAATATTCTAATCTAGATTTATATAGAATATTAATAATATACTAATAGATAGTTATACTAGTTTAGTTTTTAAAAATATTAAAAAATCCTAAATAGATATATTTAGTTTCCTAGTTATAGTTAATAGAGAAGTAGATAATACTTAGAATTATCTATGTATTTTCTTTATTAATCTAATAATTAATAATAAGAGATATTTTTTACTTTAATAAGTATATAGTATTAAAAGCTATTTAATAATATTTTTAAATAATTAAATATATATAATATATAATTATTATTAATAATAGAATATAAAATATAAAAATAAAAAGCTATTAAAGTATAAATTTAAAGAATAAATTATTAATAAATTATATAGATAAATAACTAATATAAATAAATAATATAATTATTAAATATAAGTTTTCTTATATTTTAAAATATAATAAATTCTAATTAAAGAGTTAGTATTATATAATTAATATATATTAATTAGTATAAATATTAATACTAATAAATTTAGATCTAGTAAATTCTATATTAAATCTAGATAATAATAACTTCTAAAAAGTATAAATTATACTCTCTAAGTATTTTCTTAGACTTAATATATTATAAATAGGCTATTACTTTAAAGAAGTATAATAAAAATTATATATAATCTAAGAAGAGCTATTAAATATTAATATTATTAGTTTAAAAGTTTTCTATATAGTAAACTATTATAAATACTAGAAGATTTTCTTTCTATTATTTAATATATTAAAATTAATCTCTCTATTATTAAATTAATAGTTTTATTTATAATATATTATATTCTACTACTAGCTAAAAAAAACTTATAATATAATCTAAATTAAAAATAAAATATTTATTTTACTAGGTTTTAATATTTATAAACTATATAGTAATATTTTTATTTATTTTTATTAATAAAAGAAATAAATTATTATTATAAATAAAAATATCTATTATTTAATTATAAGAATATAACTTAATATAGAAAAATAAAAAGAAAATAAAAATTAATTAAATTTTAATAAATAGAAATAAATAAGAATAATTAGATTTTAAATAATAATTTCTATATTTTTATTTAGAAATAGAGCTAAATAATCTAGATAAGTTAGTAAAGTAATTTTAAATATTAAATTTTAAAATTTCTAAATACTAAGATTTCTCTTTTAATTATTTATATTTATACTAATTAATTTAGTTTAATTAAGATATTATAAAAAATACTAATAATATTTAAATCTATAGTAAAAAAAATTTTAATCTAGCTATATATATACTACTATCTAGTTCTTCTTCTAAAGTTATATAGAGAAATAGTATATAATTATTAGTTCTTAGAGAAAAATCTATTATCTTAGAACTTTAATTACTATCTTTATTTAATAATATATATTAAGAGTTATTATATATAATAATAAAATTATTAAAATAATTATTTTATTAAAATATATAGCTAAAGAAGAGAATTAAAGAGATTTAGTTTTAAATAGTAGAAAAATAATTATAGAAGTTTAATTTAGTAATTATATTTTTTTTAATTAATTTTACTATAAATAAGAGTATATTCTAAGATTAAATAATATATAATTTAATATATATTTTTTAAGAATATAATTAGTAATCTCTTTTTAAATCTTTAATACTATAAAATAAAATTAAATTTAAATACTTTTAGTCTAGATATAAGTATTAATATCTTAAAAACTCTAATAATAAGAGCTATTTATATAGCTAGATATATAAATAGTCTAGCTATAGTTTTAGCCCCTAAGGAGAAAAGCTTATTATCTAATAATAGTAATTATTTTTCCTTATTTTAATTAATTAATTACTTAATTAATTAATTACTAGATATTTTAAATAGTTATAATATTTAATATAAATATTCTAATCTTTTAGAGTTTATTTAATATTACTAATAAAATCTTTAAAATAATAATAATTATTATTTAAGATAATCTAATATAGCTATTTACTAACTATATTTATTATATATCTTTTTAATTAATTAAAAATTTATTTATAATAATAAAACTATTTTTAATAGTATAAATCTAATAGCTATATCTACTTAGATTATTATTTTATTATATAATCTATTATTAATAGCTATTATAAATACTTATAGAGAATTAAGATTAATTTAAGTAAATATTATATTTTAAAAATAATTATTTTTTTATATAAACTTATTATAATTTAATATATAATTTATAGTTTTAATATATTATATATTATATTAAATTAATAAAAGTAGAAATAGTTTTTAAAAATTAATTATTTAAACTTTATATTATATTTAGTTATATTTAGATTAAAATATTAATTAAATTAGATTAAACTTAATATTAATATATTAGAATTTATTTTAATTTAATTTAAATTATATTTATTTAGAAATATAAAAAAAGTTAGTTACTTAAGATTATTAATTATATTTATATTTATAAGTATAAAATATATTTACTACTATAGAAAATTTTTATTAAATAATATAGATTTAATATTAATCTAATATCTATTTATATATATTTAGTTATACTATATAATAATAAAATAAATATATATATATAATAGATATAGAGTATAAGAAGTATACTACTTCTAATAATCTAGTTATATTTCTATAATAGAAGTATAATACTTCTATTACTCTAGTTCTTTAGACTATAGGGTATATATAACTATATAACCTATTATAGAGGTTTTTATTTATAATAAATATAGAAAAATAAATAAATATTTATCTAATCTATCTTTAGTTTTTAAACTAATTAGTATAATTTAATAAGAGCTATATAGTAAAGTAAAAAGCAGTAAATAGAGTAAATAAAAGTTATAATTAAAACAAAATCTATCTATTATAAAGATAAATATTAAGTTTATCTTAAGAAAGGAGCTAGATCGTCTCGGTGTGCTTTTCACTGAGAATCTTCTGTCGCTTCATCAAAACTTCTCGCCTAAACATTGCTACCTTGTCCCAACTGTCGATATCCATTGTGAAGACATCGATAGCTTCAATCTTGTCGATGATCTCCATTCCACATCGATCACAAGTATTGCCAAGTCGTGACATATCATCCATGATTAACCTTAGATGAGGAATTTCGAAAGACCAAGCACTGAAGGTTCGGTCAACGTTCTGGCCGCCTCCACCTCGAAGCAGATGAGTCCAGCCCCGCAGAACAGGATTACGAGCTCCCTCGATGCAATCATCCCCGGATGAATTCTGATGTATCGTCGGCCACATCAGCGTGTGGTGCAATTTTGAGACGCAGGTGGTCTATCTGTAGTAGCGAATCATGTAGGAGAAGAAGAGTCCAGACCGATCGTGCGTTTATACGAACCCCCTGCTAAGAGTGGAGTTAAGATGGTACACCTGTGCGCAGACACTGTGCTCTAATTAATTGATTGATTCCCCGCATTCTCTATTTAATCGACATCTCCAGTTGCCAGGCCATTCCTCACACCCAGTTCTTTAGGCATACAGGGAGGGTAATCATTGCATGGTATCTACAGCACTGCGCCGACAGCTGTGATTAAAGACAGTATTATCAGCTCAGCAATCTAGATGGAGCGTTCATCTCGTGACAGTCATCGCGTGCGTGTCTCTCGTGCGTGTGATAGATGCAAACGGTAGAGTCCCACTGAGTCGCACCCCCCAGATCATAGACCAGCCATGGTTAACATAGCATTTGTATTGAGTAGGAGGAAGATACGATGCACTGGCAAGCAGCCTTGTGAGTTGTGCGTGCGTGCGACTGCTCAGTGCCTGTATTCGGCACCGTACACTAGAGGCCGGATTCCGCGTATCGTCGACGACCTCTCATCGCGTCCAACAAAGAATGAACGGCGTCAAGAACCCCTGCCTTCAGGCCACGCGGTGCCTCACTTTCCCCTGGCGCCCTCAGATGGAGTTGCCAATTCAACACAGCGTGCTAGCGCTGCAGAGGCTCCGTCTCGGGCATCTCCAGAGGTTGTCTGGGAAGATCTTGAAGGCCACTACGTTGGACCGGCATCCGGGTTGTCTTTTCTGCTTCGTGTTCAGGAAAGATTGCACCACACGACGTCCGGTTTCACCTTCGGCGATATACCTCTGCCAGAGTTCGACCCTACATTCTGCTCTATGCTGTCTAAAGAAGACTCCTCGCGCCTTGTGCAAAGGTATTTCGATTTCACAGTGCCTGTTGACCGATTTCTCCATCAGACTACACGAGAGATGTGGCTGGATGAGTTCCATAAGACGAGGGGTATCATGGCGGACGATAGGAAAGCCCCCGCCAGAAGGGCAATTCTGTGGATGGTCTTTGCTCTGGCACAAGAACATATGGGCAACGAGCCAGCTAATAACCGTTCCCAGAAAAGGTCCGTACCCATTAATTCGTGAAGTCTTTGTATTGACAATGGCAATTTTAGCACATGTTATTTCCTGGCAGCGAACTATCAGCTTCGCAAAGATTCAGCAGAATTACTCTGGCCGATGTTCAAGCCCGCCTTTGCCAATGTTTATGGCTCCCGTCACGGTCACGATTGAACCATTGTTGGAGCCTGTTCGGCACAGCTCGACTAGCTTTGGCAATCGGCCTGCACCGGAAGCGACAGCCCGACACAAGCCTTAGTTGGAACGCCGCCGTCGAGCGTGAATGCTGCCGGAGTACCTTGTGGAACGCCTACTGTCTTTACAATTATCCGAGTTCGTTACGTCAGGGGAGGACGCCGATGTAGGAGATGAAAGCAGAAACTACGGGGGAGGACTGTTCTGTGTGAATATCGGTGTTGAAGGACTGCAGCCATTCTGCTTTCAGATGGCACGACAAGAATACGCTATCGCTGTTGAAGGGGCATGAGCAACGAAATCTAAGGTATTGGAGTAAAAAGTATTGGTTGTTCTGCAACTGCCCTAACGGCAGACTCTACTGTGTTGCCATTAAGGTCCTGGCATCGCAAAAGTGAAATACCGGGAGAAGTTTGTGAATGGGTAGGCAGATGTCAAGAAGTGGACCGACCAGATCTCACACAGTATCCATTAGCTCGTGGATACGGTGGCCAGGGATCTGCAAATTGACCTCCACTGCAAGCTCCTTGGGTATCTCATACTTAAATTCTATTGACGTTCGTGGTCGCATCAAATCTGCGCCTTTGATTTGAAACAACACATGATAGGTTCAATGCCGAAAAAACCCCGATCTGTAACGATAATTCGCCCCTTGTACATTTCCGCACAGCCATGTCACTATCAGGTCTCGTTATTGCCATCACGGGTGGTGGTGGTGGGATCGGCCTGGCGACCGCGAAGCTCGTGGCCGAGCGCGGCGGCGTCCCCTGTCTCTCAGATATCTCGTCCGATAGCCTCGCCGAGGCAGAGGCATACTTCAAGGAGCACAAGTACAACTTCTTGGCACACAAAGTCGATGTTTCCGACCGTGGCGAGGTTGAGAGCTGGCTGGATGACATCGTGGCGCACTTCGGTCGACTCGACGGTGCTGCCAACATCGCTGGTGTGATTGGTAGAGATCATGGCGTTAAGGCGGTGTCTGAGCTCGACGATGGTGAATGGAACAAGATCATGGCCGTCAACCTCACAGGCACCATGTTCTGCCTTCGCAAGCAGCTGCAGCTCATAGTTGATGGAGGTTCTATCGTGAACGTGTCCTCAATTCACGGATTGACCGGCGAGTTCTTTCCACGTACACGCCAGTGATTATCATTCACTAACTGTAGCCGTAACAGGTATCGCAAATCATGGCGCATATGCGGCAAGTAAACACGGCGTCATTGGACTGACCAAAGCGGCTGCCAAGGAGAATGGAAAGCGAGAGGTGAGGGTCAACGCTGTTGCTCCCGGCTCGATTGACACCCCGATGATGCGAGGCTGGTGGTCTGCAAACGACAGGCCGGCCGATGCAGAGTTCTCGGACCCAACAGCCTTTCGGCGACTTGGAACGGCAGACGAGGTCGCGAAGCTCATCGCTTTTCTTCTAGGGCCCGACAGCACTTTCACCACGGGGGCAGTGTACTCAGTAGACGGCGGGTGGCTCTGAACTTGCAATTAACTTGCTACATGCTATGAGATATGTCTCCAATCGACGAGTTTACTCTTGATCCTTCCAAGGTTCCTCAAATACCGATGTTTTTATTTATAGTAGCTTCACGTACCGGGCCTCTTGTCCGCGGGCTCTCATTAGCCAACCCATTTTACTCCGGACATGGTAGATGACAACATCGCAAAGAAGCATCGGAAATGACTGATTGGTATTGACTCATAGAACATACACAGTAAACAGATTATTTTGTGTCAATCTCCCTCCTGTTAAGATAAATTGTCATTCCTCAATTCGTGGCAAACCTCCACTACCTGAAATGTCGGCCAAGATCATGCCCAAAGTCGTTCACACAGCATTGCTGGCAAAGGATTTGAACACCGAGAAACTATCCAACGCAGCGCCTTGCTGGTCGAACATGATGGCATAAGCGCAAGTAGAACCAAGTCGATAATTCCGCACCCATGCAGGCTCTCATACATTGAATCCCGTGGCGCCCGCCACTGTAAGAGTTTTTGCCATTCTTTGGAAATAGATTTCTTGACCCTCAGAGCTCCATGGGATGTCAGTCTGGTCGAGTGGGAACTTGTACTCCGAGTTGGGACACGCAAGGGGCCAGCCGGTCTCCACGACCTGGACTTCCTTGTTCCCATACTTGGATTTCAAGCGAGCCGACAAGTCGATAAATTTAGAGAATGACGCGTTCTCACCCAGTGGGGATACATCGAGTGCGTATGAATATCGAAGTCGTCCAGGGAGAGCCTATTGGCCATTGGTTCGCAGCACAAAATGAGATGTAGCAGTCGCTTTGGCTTGGGCGATAAACTCGATGCCATGACAGCGGCTGATACCGGTTTGGGAAGGCGGGAGAGGTTCCGCGGCTTGTCGTAGCCGCCAACCGGGACCAGAATGCCGCTGTTGACCTCGTTGCCGAGTGTTATGGTCCCAGGCTTTAACCCAGCTGCAGCGGAATGATTGAGGCAGTCAAGCGTGTACGTGTAGATTGTCTGCCCCAAGCCGTCGATATCGGTAGGCCAGCCCGAAGGGATTCCCTGCAGCGCTGAATTGGTCCACGTATCGCTGAAATGGAAGTTCAGCCCGATTTTCATCCCAACACTATGTTCACTTTTAGCATCGCACCGATGAGTAAGGCCTTAAGCCTCCTACTTTACCACTCTCTGTGCGATTTGAAGATGATAGTCAATGCCGTGGTCCCCATCGGTGACCCAGACTCGTTGGCGCACCATGTTGAAGCCATTCTCGGCGAGGATGTACTCCAAACGCTTGATGTTCCTGTTTTGATCTTTGTACACGATACCGGCCGGCTCTTCCTGGATGACAGAACATATATCGGCACCTATGTATCGTAGTGCAGACACTCTTGACACAAAGAGTGTAGCAGCGATGATCCACTTGCCACGTATCTTGTTGTTTATATAGGTGACAAGACAAATAATAGTGAAAGTATGTGTTCTTACAATAGAGTACTAAGATAGTAGGTCTTGAAGGAAATCCTCGAGCACTGGGTAGGATAGCTTAGGAGAATCAGTGGATTTATAATAGTCTGATCCGATGATAAATATTACTTCCAGTAATCGAAGTTTTATGATCCATTAGGGGCTGCACAGGGAAGGTGCCTTGCTACGAGGTGAAACAATGAAGGTTGATAATAAAATATTGTCTCCGCTCAACGTCACGGGAACTGGGGCGCATTGCATGAGTCTGGGGAATACAATTACACAGGCCCTTCTACTCCGTGGTTCAGACCTGAGACGGCTAACAGACAGGGACCTAGACTGATCCGGTCAACGGTTGCAGTCGGTAGCGAGAAACGGATATGCGGGCCATTGAATATTCTTCTGTCTTTCGGATAGAACAGAAGATCAGTGATCGCTGCCCGCGGAATGCGGTTGTGTGCCAATCTCAAGCCCAGGACCTTGACAACCCTGTCCGTAAAGACGGATAGGCAAGGTTTATATGAGTTCCGTCGGATGGGAGCTTATTCGTTACTCGCTAAAGGAAACATCGCCGTTATACGCCCAAGAGTAGATGCCGTAGGGTGAGGGCAGAACCACGTCCAGTTGATCGCGCTGTTCATCCAGGCCCAATCCCTGTCATCTTAAGCTTTAGGCTCAAGTACGGAGTAGAGTCGGTAGTCGCAAGTGAGCTATATATAGGTATATAAACTATTATCCCGGATGGACTGAGCATTCTTCAAATCGATTTGCAGATGTGATCTGTGAAGAGGCTAAGAGAGGATATATGATGAAGTTCGTTCACGTTGGTCAGTTACTTGCTGCTGCAGCTAGCAACTCTTTCTACCCAGCCAGCAATCGCCCAGAGCTGGCCAGTTCATGATAATAGCCTCAACAGAGTTGTACAGTGGTAGGTACTGGAGAGAATCCTAAGGGCGGAATCCTTGCATGTCTAACCAGTCAATTAGAGATTATATGCAGATGGCCTCACGTAAAGGGTTTCTAGATAACCCGGGATAACTGTAGATGACGAAGAATACACATACTTCCCTACTTCCCCTAATTTCCCACCCTAGTCACTGACATGAAAGTAGGTAGGCTTCATGCTTCCGTTACCTCTCCGTAGTCCGTTTCAAAAAGTCCTACCCCCTGCTTTTCCGTGTTCCGACTCCACTAGACACGGAAGAACTAATTTGGGCCCACGTAAACATCCGCAAGGGAATCCGCAGCTCCTGCATGGAGTTTGATTGTGTACTTCGAAGAGCGTCGATCTGATTCAAACATCAAGGTTGCGCACTTCATGTACAAGCTTGGCTTTTGCTTCAGTCCCCCTACCCCAGTTGCTGACCTTTAGCACGGTTGTTCTGATTAGAATCGCATCAAAACACTTACATCCTCTCTGTAAGCTAAAACATTCTCGAAAATGGGTAAAATTGCTTCCATAGAGTACTTCCGAGTGCCGCCGCGGTGACTGTTGGTGAAGATCACCGACGCAGACGGTCACTCCGGCTGGGGAGAGGCTTCTCTCGAAGGCCACACCAATGCTGTAGAAGGTTGTCTGGATGCCTGGTTCAAGAGGTACCAGGGGCTTGAAGCAGAGTGAGTGGCCACTTCTTCTAGCTAACAAGTCGGACATTGCCATGCTAACCTCCCGAAAAGTGACATTGAAACCATCTGGCAAATGTCCTGGCGGACGAGCTTTTACCGTGGGGGTCCAGTGTTCATGAGTGCCCTGTCGGGAATTGATATAGCGCTATGGGACTTGAAAGGTAATTTCTATTTGATAACAATCGGGCAAAATATTTAACAGTCCATAGCTCGGAAACTCGGTGTGCCCATCTATCAGCTTCTCGGCGGAAAAGCGAGGAGAAAGAGTCGCGTATACGCGTGGATTGGAGGTGACAGACCTGCCGATGTTGAAGAGCAAGCGTGCGTCGTCCTTCACACAATGCGCACCCGTTTGCTAATACTGGTGTTTCTTGTAGGCAAGCACGTAAAACTCAAGGTTTCAAGACTGTGAAGATGAACAGGACTGGAGACACGTGCTGGCTAGATTCTCCTTCAATCGTTCACGATGTCGTGGAGCGAGTCAAATCTGACAAGTCCACTGGAATGGATGTCGCAATCGACTTTCATGGTCGAGTGCATAAACCCATGGCGAAGCAGCTTACCAAAGCACTCGAACCTCTTCATCCCTTCTTCATTGAAGAGCCCCTACTTTCAGAAAACATCGGGGCTATTGAGCAGTTGTCCCACCTGACGGCTGTTCCCTTGGCCCTTGGCGAGCGGTTGCACAGTCGCTGGGATGTACGCCCTTTTCTGGAAGCCGGCTGTCTCGACCTATTGCAGCCGGACATCTGCCATATCGGGGGCATATCCGAGATGAAGCGCGTGGCAGCCATGTGCGAAGTCTACGATGTGGCATTGGCCCCTCATTGTCCTCTTGGGCCCATCGCATTGGCTGCCAATATCCAGGTGGATGCAACGACTTCCAACTTTGCCATTCAAGAAATGAGTTTAGGCATGTATTACAATAGTACTGGTCAAGACATCACATCTTACTTCCACAACCCCCAGATCTGGAAGGTTGAGGATGGACACATCGAGCTGCCAAGGCCAGGCGGGCAAGGAACACCCCGACGTGCAGGAGGTAGAAGAAGAGTAATGCCCGATGAAATGACAAAGGCAGTTGATTTTTGGTACTCAGAACTGATGAGAAACGCAAGGGGTAAATGATGATTGCTTATCTGAGTTTGTGATCTTACCAAGTAATTTCATCTCTCCTTTGCAGGGCCGCTTCCTTGAAGCACCGACTCAGGCATAGGGAAAATTTGCATAATGTCAACTATAGCTATAGCTTAGTTAGCCTTAGATAAGGCTTGCTTAAAGCTCAGACTAAGCTCAGATTGTATAATTGTTAATTGGTTCGAAGAATAGAAGTAGCCTTTGGTAAGATTTTTTAATAGGATAGTATGTAACTATTATAATTTTTCATCTTCCTCACATACTTATCTTTTACTAAATACCATTTCAGGGTGATCTTTAGACATAAGACTTAAGCTCAGCTGAAGGTTTTGTCATATCTGGCAATTCCGTGCCCGTGAGGCTTTTGAAATCCTTCGATATGTGTTCCCAAATCCTGCTTTGGGTACCATTTCTCCGAAGCTCAGCTACCCTCTCAACGGCTTTGGCTGGTAGCGGGCGAAGATAGTGATCCATCGAGTACGCTCCACTGCCTGTCTCTCCGTCGGTCCCAATCACCGCTCCCTCACCCCCAGGAACAAGAACACCTGCGGCTTCCACACTGCCCTCAGCAGGTTTGAAGAACGCACTCGTAGCTAGGAACATGTGTCTCTCGCCGCACTCGTCAGGAGGTACCTGCAGAAAAGGTTCGAATACATATCGCGATATCAGGATAATCAGCCTTAGCGAGAATCCTTCAGCGTCACGATTGATCCCACCCTTCACGATCCCGGGTAATGAGTGGATGAAGCTGACGGTCGGGGCAAGCCGTGAAAATTCTTCAAGAAGCAGTGTCTGGATAGAGGACAACTGGTCCCGCCATTTGGTTAAAGGGAAACCCTCGCCGAAAAAGTTGCTCATATCAACCGGCCCCTCGACTGTTGCCGCCCCAACGCTGACCACTCGGCGTAAGGTGTCGGCTTGTTGAATCGGAGGAAGCAAGTTTGCGATGAAGCGAGTTCGTGAATGCGTGGCAAGAGATGCGGCCAGAGGCAAGCCATCAGGTGATTCTAGGGATGGTCAGAATACCAGTTTGAAGAGATATTTGAAAACATGCTTTACTTTTATTGAATCCCATACTACCTTGCGATAGAAAGAGAAGATTGATTGTGGTTTCTTTATTCTTGATTTCGTCGCAGACGCTATCCACCCCCTGTAAAGCACTCACATCCGCTTGGATGAACTGAAATGTACTTCCGGAGCTGACATGACTGCATTCTTGGATGATCCGATCAGCAGACTCCTGCGAGCGCCCGACAATATACACCCGAGAGTTGATAGAGTATTTGGCAAACGCTTTGACTGTATACTCGCCGACGCCGCTGGTCCCTCCAACGAAAACAGCTACTAATCCATGAGGGAAGCTGGCAGATATTCTGTTGTTGGAGGAGGTAACACTCGTGAGAAGGGACATTGTGAAGTGAGGATGGAGGAGCTATAGACACTTGCTTCTAAAGAGGGATGAGACTTGAGAGAGCGAGGAAGAACGTGAATTTTATATCTCTCAGGTATGAGATAGAGAGGCTGGTTTCGGTGATATGGTTATAAATCCGAGCTACTTACTCCGGAGATGGTACTTGGCCTCTTTCAGCGATACGAACCGCATAAGGTGATGACTAGTTGTTGGGTCCATGCATAATGGTGTATGATTTGTCGTATCATTGCCGTTCTGTTGCCCTCCTTCTTGATAGTTCTGGCCGGTTGTGGGAATGTTACAGATGAGTTAGCCAACGTGCTGCTGTCATACTGATATGTCTTTACTAGAAGCTATCTAAGCTGATTGTTAACTGGGTGAGATAATTCTTCAGCCATTTTTCAGATCTACTGGCGCGGTCTTTAGCCCACCAGTACTCGCTCGAACAAAGGAGAATCCTTATAGCGCGATAGAAGTGGTACAAAACAAGTAGAGCATGCGGATCGCTCTGCTGGACCATCGAAGCGAACACCCCGTGACATGATACTGGAAACATGAAAATACACCTTGCTAGATCTGGAAGTAGAGACTCTCCATCGGTGTCTAGATGTGGCTGCCCCGATCCCGGTAAAAATGCTAGAATAAGGCAGAGTCGGCCGATTGCCGGCACATAACCGCCTTCTATTGGACAGGAGGAATCATGAACATGGTGCTGCCACAGATCCAGCACGGCGTCAGACGTGCTTCTTTCAAACGGCGGCAGCGAAGTAAGCATGTCTAGACTAAGTGGCCGCGAGTAAGAAAAGAAATCTTGAAATTTGGCCAATGAATGTCTGCTTATTTGCGCGGCTGCCGCTAGCTTTCTCAAAGGAGGATGCTGTAGATGCGGGAGGAATATTGATGACGATGGTTGAGAAATAAGCGGAACACTGGCTAGAAAGGTCTTCTTCAAGCTCGAGCTGATCGAAAAAACACTGTCTTTTGACGTATCATATGCTGATATGGAGCTGTCATCAGACGAAAAAAGGCCGGGTTGGGACCACACTTCATACAAAAGCAACAGCGTTGTTGCGACGAAAGCGTCGATATGAGTTGAAGTAAAGTTGGTAGATAGCTGATGTTGAAAGAGCGACAAGGCTCGGCACAAATGCTGAGCCGCCGTCGACGAGTGCTCAATGCTACCAGGCTGGAGTGAGGAAAGATGCCGAGCAGCCACGCAAAGGATGGTATGCATCAGATACTCAAAATCAAAGGAAAGCTGTAGGACTTTGTTCCATACATCAGGATCGATTAGAAGTGTTTTATGAGTAGATGACTCGAAATGGTGAAATAGTCTCATGTGTTGACGGTTCGCCATGGTATTCTCTGAGATTGAGTATGGCATAGTGTGCGAGAGTGCTGAAAAAGATCTCCTATTGCCATTCAAAGTTGCAGAAGCTATACAAGTGTCGCCCCTTCTGGTGCAGTTCTCACAAGGATTGTCTTCATTGCACTATTGCACGGCACGATTAGACGAGGACGCGATGATGCATTGACCAGAAGTTAGCCGAACGTTTGCAGAGCCTACCTTTACCCGCCGCCTTCTGCAGTTCTCACACCCTCTTCTGGATTTATTATGTACGCGGCGCTTTCTCGAGACATTGGGAGCTAGAGCCTTGGGAATTTCAGAGAGTGTCTGCTCCGTATTTGTCAGGACAAACGTGTGGGTGAAGTCCGTGAACGTCGGGCTTTCTCTCTCGGCATTGGCATCAAAGACTTGGAAGGATGACATGGGAGCCATCCAGCATAGATCGAATATGGCCCGTATTGATAGTTTGGGACTCTGGAGTGGTAAGTTTCTGCTATTAAAGTTAGAGGAATGTTAACTCCGTTGCGTAATCCCGAGATGGATGATGATGTGCAACTAAGCCCATTAGAACGATACGAGACGAAAGAGGAAAGGAAAAATGGAAGCTGCTCACAAGTACCCACTGAACGCGTCCAATGATATTCATGCAACAAGCGACGGGCTCTTGTTCCTACACTCTCTGAACATGAAGTGTGGGGTTGAGGGGCCCATCTTTGATCTGTCATCGAACGAAGGAAGGCTGGGTTGGGACGATGTATGCTAATATGAACGTGAGAGAGGCTTGGTTGAAAGCTTGGTCTCTAATCTTAGTCACTAGGTCTAGCTCGTATGCTCATTCACCTCGGAGCTAGCCTGATACTACGCCGGTATCCTTCTAGAAGGCTTCTCGATTCGTAGAATCTACAATGATACATGTGCAATATGCGAGAGCGCGGTCAGTAGGATCTAAATTGAGGCTCTGCTGGGTGGCTCTACTGTGGCGTGGTTCAAGATACTTAGTGGATGGACGTCACTTATTCAACTCTATCAGCTCATAAAATAGAACTGGGCTGTCTCAATCTCCAAATATACTGAAAAGCTTTGTTCTTCTAGACACATTGTGCTATTAACTACTCTAGCCACTTCACTATCTACACCTAATCTTGTTGCTTGTATTTGCTTCGGCGCCTTGATCTACTCGTCATCGTTGATGTCGACAACGGTCTTTGTCCACTTGCGAGCATTAACCTTGCGCTTGAAGAGAATGTCAATCTCACGGTAGGACCTGTCCTTCATCTCAGGCAGGAAGAAGTAGGCCATGACAAAGCAGAAGAAGCCAGTTCCACCCCAGACGTATCCGCACTTGCCGCCAAGATCTGCGCCCTGTGAAATGTCAGCTTTTGTCACTGGAAAGGAATTGAAAGTGAATCTTACAGTTGTGGGGTTGAGCATCCAACTGGAGAGGAAGATACAGGGAATGTTGACGGCGTAGTAGGCACCACGTCCGATACCGGTGGTCAAAGGTCGAAGACGAACGGCCGATGTCTCTCCAATAATGACCCAGGAGGCAGGGGCAGGTCCCAAGGTGAACAAGACGGAGACGATGAGACCCAATGACGCTTGCGCCAGAGACGCAGACTTGGACCCGGCGACGGACCCAGCGATACCAAGGGCGATCAAGAACATGACGTTGATACCAGAGCCCCAGACGTAGATGGTACGTCGGCCAAGGTATGTTGTGAGGATCCACGAAAGCATGACGAAAATCATCTGGAGCGCCGAGGTGATGAGACCCAGGGCGAACGAGGTGTTGGTGTCCATGCCAGCCTCTGTGATTTGGTCAGCGCACGCACTTGCCTATATAATAGCAGAAATGACGATGGGACTTACGCTCGAAGAAGTAGACAGCCTGGTTGGCGATGAGGTTACCGGTAAGATTCTGTGCCGCGTACACACCGCAGACAATCAGGGTACGGTAGCGGTCAGTGCCTCTGAACAGCTCGAGGTAGCTGGGCTCCTTCTCGGTCTTCTCGAGCTCGATGGTACGGCGAATCATGGCGACGCTCTCTGCAGCATTGAGCATATCCTTGCGTCCCAGGCGAGTGACTGACTTTGCCGCCTCTTCGAGACGTCCCTTTCGGACCAGCCACCAAGGCGACTCGGGTGCAATGAAGAGGAGGATAGCGAGCGGAGTAGGGAACATCCATTGAAGGGCAATGGGGATTCTAATCATATTTCGTCAGTAAGAGCGTT